CCACGGATTCTACTTACACGGTGGGCTGCCGCGTAAAGGCTGTCAACATCATCAAAGACTGATCACACGCTGGTAATAACCTCCTACAAACCTCTTCCATCAAGCAGAAGATACAGAAGCCTGAACACATGCACAAGCAGGTTGAGGAATAGCTTCTTTCCGGCCATTATCAGACTGTTGAATGGACTCCACCCTCAAATAATGTAACCTGCAATGTAACCTGTGTGCCTGTAAGTCTTTTTGATCTGTACACCCTTTGCTTGCTGTGATCTACCTGTACTGCTCGTAAACAAAGCTTTTCACTGTATTTAGGTACACTTGACAATAAAATCAAAATAAAAAGAATCAGAGATCAAGTCCCACCTGCTCCTGAGGTGTGTTATAATACATCTGAACAGCTTGTTTAAAAATATCTACTCTAATACCGATAACTTCTAGATTGACATAATACTGGTTATGCACCTCACTTTGCTATGATGTAATCTGCCCATTCTTTGCCCTTCAGTCTTCAGCTTTTTTTCTTCATTTGCTCACGAGTCTCCCATTTTCAATTTCGATGAGCAACGTATGACTCGGCAAAAAAGTACGTGAAGTCATTTTCCACTGCCTGGTGTGCTTCATGAATAAGTTAATACCCCAAAAGAATCTCTCACCTACAAGCAGCCACAGTCTATCAAGGTCGTAGCTTCTTCATCATCAAGAATTCACTGGTTTTACTATGGGTCTGGGCTCACAAACCTGAGGATTGCAGACATCACATTTTTCCTCAAAAGGAACTCCAATGAGGAAATCACCAACCTTTGAACATAACATTAAGCACACTATTACCACAACTAGTATCCAATTTAGATATTAAAGGAGATAATTAATCCAACTTAGTTCAGGATTTAGAATGATATAAACCAGTATAAAAATCATTGTACTGGCACCAGCTCTTTGACAAATAAATCCAATTAATCTTATTCCCCACAGCACATCAAATTTGCCCACTCAAGTATTTTTCAAATTTTGAAAGTTATTTCGGATGTGTTTTACGACCTTTTCAGATCACAACTTGCCACTTAATTTTTACAATTTTTTTTTGAAAAAAACCTGCTTATTTTGCTGTAAAACTACATTGTCTGGTTACTAACCATTTTAACAGAGGTAGTAGTCTCTCCTTATTTACTTTATGAAAATCATGAATAATTTGTATTATGTTGACTGAGATGTCTACATGGATCTAATCAGTGAAAGTAATAGAAGGAAAAAACCATTCATGCATGCAAGTAGTTAGGATCTGGAAGGCACTGTGACAGCATGGTGGAAACAGGTTCAATTGAAATATTCAGAACAGAATTGGATTGTTGTTATTTGAAAAGAAGCAATGTGCAGAGTTACAAGGAGGTAAGATAATGGCACTAGGTGAGATGACGCAGACATGGGCTGAATGATCTCCTCATGTGCAGTAATATTGCTATTAAATCTCCCATTTACCATCTCTGTTTTTCATATCTCTATGCATATGAAATCCTGAGGCCCAGCTAGCTATCTAGCAAATCTTTTCTGTATTTTTTCTAAGGGCTTGATATCCTTCCTTAAATGGGACTTCAATAGGAATTAAGGCTTTTTATAGTTTGGTTTTGTACTCCACACTTACTTTATAAAAACATGGATCCCATTTTTAAAACAAAATTAACAGCCTTTTCAATGTCCTGCGTTAAACTTTTTTTGTTTTCTTCATTTGTGGGTCATGGGTGTCGCTGCCTGGACCAGCATTCAAAGGTGGTGGTGAGCTGCCTTCTTGATCCACAATGGTGTTAGGAAGAGAATTCCACAATTTGACACATCAACTGAAGGAATGCAATATATTTCCAAAACACGATGGTGAGTAGCTTCAAGGGAAACTTACCTGTGAATATCACCAGCTACATTAGCTGACCTTGACCAAAACCCTTCTGGAAGTGACCCTGGGCTTTGAAACAGCAAAGGGTTTTTGGCAAATTTCTGCAGTGCATCTTGTAGATGGTATACACTGCTGCTACTGAGCAGTGGTGGTGGAGCAACTGAATGTTTGTGCATGCGGTGTCAATCAAGCAGTCTGCTTTTTCCGGATGGTGTCAAGCTTCTAGTTGTTGGAGCTGTACTCATCCAGGCACGTGGGAGCATCCAATCACACTCCTGACTTATACCTTGTAGCCACAATGCAGTCTTTGCACAGTCAGGTACAGAGTTACTACTTAGTACTTGTAGCTGAAGATTGTTGCCAATACCTTTACCTTTTGCATTGATGTGTTGGGCTCTCCAATTGGTGAAATATGGATATTTGTTAAGTTTCCTCCTCCAAGGAGTTGTAAGATTGTCAACCAAGAATCATGTAGGCAGGTTGCAGGACTGCAGAGTTTAGCTATGACCTGTTGGTTGTGGGATTGCTTAACTCTGTCTATCACTTCTCCCATTTGACATGCAAATAGTCCTATTTTGTAGCTTCACCAAGTTGATACCTCATTTTTAGGTATGCCTAGTACTGCACCTAGCAGGCCGTTATGTTGTCTTCATTGTTCCAGAGTTGATCTCCTGGCTTGATGTGATAGACTATGGGGATATGCCAGGCCACAAAGTTGCAGATTGTTACAGCACATTTCTGCCTCTGCTAATGGCCCAGAGTGCCTTATGAAAGCCCAGTCTGGAGTTGCTAGATCTGATCAAAATATATCCCATTCAGTAATATGATCGTGTTGATTGCACCACAAAACAATGTAAGGCATAATCAAACTGAAGGTGCGATTGTGTCCACAAGGGCTGTGCAGTGGTCATTCTTACCTGTATTGTCATGGACATATGCATCTGTGGCAGGTTGACTGGTGAGGATGAGGTCACATATGTTTTCCCTCTTTTTGCTTCCCTCACCAACTGGCACTGACCCAATCTGGCAGCAACATCCTTTAGGACCCGACCAGCTCAATCAGAGCCACTCTTGGTATTGGACATTGAAACTTCCACCCAGAGTACAAACCGTGCACATGCCTCCTTTAGGGCTTCAAGTGATCACAGAATCATCAGCTAATGGAGGATGGTATGGAGCAATCAGGAGTGGGGGCGGGGAGAGGTTCCATGCTCTGATGGGGCGAGGGGGGGGGCGCGGGTTCCATACGACCTGAGGCCATGAGCCTTTATTGCATCTGGAGTCAATGTCAAGGACTTCCAGGGCAACTCCCTCCCAATTATATGCCATTATGCCACCACCTCTGCTGGGTGTATTCTGCCAGTGGGACATGACATATCCAATGATGGCAATGGTACCTGTGCACACATATACCTTGAGGTCCGTCTGCCCTTTTATCCCATTTAAAAATGGTACAATTTATGTCAAATTACATCTCCTTGTTTGGTTTGAAATGCATCATTTCACACATACAGTTAGAATACTACGGCACGGAAACACATCCTTCAGTCCAAATTTCCAAAACTAAATTAGTTCCACCTGCCTGCACGAAGTCCATATCCCTCCAAACATTTACTATTCATTTACTTGTCTTAATGTCTTCTAAATGTTGTAATTATAGTCACATCCACCATCTCCTTTGGAAATTCATTTCACATACTAATGACTCTAAAATATTGCCTCTCATGTCTTTTTTAAATCTTTCTCCTCTCACTTTAAAAATGTCCCCTCATCTTGAAATCCCCCATCCTAGGGAAAAGACACCTGCCAATCACCTTATTTATACCCCTCATTATTTTATACCCTCTAAGGTCACCTCTCAACCTCCTACTTTCCAGTCAAAGAAGTCCCAGCCTATCCAGCGTCTCCTTTTAACTCAAACTGTCCATTCCTGGCAACTTCCTGGTATATCTGCTCTGAACCATCTCCAGCTTAATAATTAATTACTTAATAATAAATATATTTTTATAATATACAAAATAATATATATAATGCTAAATGTCACATTTGCCCTCATTAGTCTACATCTTTCTCAGTTTATCACTTTCCAAAATGATTCAAGTTACTTTCTTTTTGACTAATCTGATCACAGAATGGAATTCATCTTTGGATGGTATCCACTTCAGAAATGTAGCGAGCATTGAAAATAATCAGACTTCAGCAGGTAACAGACTGGTAAAATGGACAGGCGTATGTCAGATGCAATCTGATCTACAGAAGTGTGCCATAATGCATTTTACTAGTACAAACAAGAACCTGCAATATGAAACAAATGGCATAGTTTTTTTTAAATTACAAAGACACCTGAAGGCATATGTACACAAATATTTGGTTCTTATTTAATAATCAACTCATCAGCAACCTTGCTCAGTAAAGCCTTTTCCAAGCCTTCAGACACAGAGATTCAAACAGGATAATCCAATCTAAAAATATGTAAATACAAATATAGATGAATTGCCTAGATTTTCAGGCATTGATTTGCAGGACAGAGGGTCCCTCTATTGATTACATCTACCTTTGCTTTTGCGAGAAACATTAAAATTTCTGGTAGACGTAGAAGACCCCAACTCTTTTTTTCCAAATAAATAGCAGAGATGACCTTGGAGTCTTGGCAAATTATCCTTCAACCAACAAAAACAATTTACCTGGTCACTCATGCACAAATTGAGCATTTCCATCATTGCAACAGCTACTTCTCAAAAGTACTTAATTGTATGTCAAACAACATAGTACATCCAGAGATTGTGAAGAATGCAACAGAAATGCAAGCTCTTTCTTCATAAACCACACACAGGTGACAAAGGTAGATAAATTGATGTTTTTCCAGTGGAAAAACAAATTAACTAATTTGAGGCAGAGTTGATCCTGGCACCACCATGTTAACTGCAGTCTCAAAATGATGTTTCTTGTACTTTTCCCATTCTTATTCAAAATTCACATGCATCCCCTTTAGAGAAATCAGTAATTTGATCTTAATCAGTGATTTTAATCTTTCCATGACAATTTTAAGTTTATTGATTGACAGACTGAGAGAAAAGGGTAATTAATATACGATGTTTGAAGCACGATACAACACTTTTCAGTTTGCACAACCTTTATTTAAAAAATAAACCCATAGAATATCCTGCCACATTCAGGAATGTGTATGACAGTATTTGGCATTTAGTGTTAACATACACAGCACGCTGCATCAGTTTAAGACATGTTTTGCAACAATTCAGCTGTCAATGCAGTAGTTTTGAAAAGATTTTTAAACCTGTGAATATATAAAGTACAAAGAATAAACATGTTGTAATGTTCACCCAATTTAAAAAAAAAATAAAAATATACTCGTGTTCCAAAGTGAATGCAAAGTCTTTGAAAATGTGTTAAAAAGTGCAACATTATTGCAAGGTCTAATTTCACCTTTGTTGCACCTGCTCTTTATGTACACTCAAACATAAGGAAACATACAAATCGATGCAAGTAAAATCAAAATGATGAACATTAAAAGGTCCACAGGAGCACAACACAGAAGAGAAAATGGCCTAATTGAAAATATTTACAGCAGTACAGTTCACCACAAACTAATCTCAGGTCACAGACAGGCTGCAGTTCTGTACGTGCTGAACATATAAAGCAGCAAACTTACAAGAACTGAGGGTGGCAATACCTCTTTCATAAAAGTTTCCTGATAAACAAAACTTAAGGAATCACTTCAGCTTCATCTTAACAGCTGAACAGAAAGTTCACAAACAGATCAAGCCAATCACACACGGAACCTATACTCAAAACAACCCATGGTGCGGTACGCTATGAAAATTTCATTTATGCTTAAAGAAAGTTGTAGTTCTCTCGTGGCAATTCCAGGTATGTAACCCTGAATTGAAACAAATTATTGCTCATTGTTGCCATAAATCCATTACAGGATTATCTTGTAAAGTTACAAATTAGTACAATCTCTGAGAAGACAAATACAAATTCACTTAAACAAGACTGAAATACAAACATCCAAATCAAAACTTCAAATGTCACTCCCAAATGGACAACTCCTCTCTTGTCCAAATTATGTTTTAACATAAGTTGGGTTAAATAATAAGGTGGAAAGTTCAAAATCCAATTTACGTTATCATTGGTGCTAAAGCCATTAACAGCAATAATTAAAATGCACATTTCTGACGGCTGTCATTAGTAATGGAGGTGAAGAACTACAATCCATGTTTAAAAATTAGTCACAGGTTCCCGCATATTTTTTGGTGATTCCTTCAAGGTCCTTATATAGGAATCCAATGTTCATGCAGGTTGGAAACAATACAAAACTATTTCAGAAAGCACTATTGCTTTTGTATTAGATTGAACATCAAATTAAGTGACTGTGACATCACAGGTACATCGAATAACCTTGAAAGTAAAAGTTCAAACAGATGTGTGGAAAATGCAGTTCTTTTTAATTTAATTTTCAACATCATTCTTCTTAATGGTGCAATTTTTAGTCTTGAATTAGAGCCTGACATTAGTATACAGAGAATGCTTCATGCAAAGCTACAAATTATAGGTAGCACAAGAGATCAGATAATGTTCAGATATGGGTATATATGTAACCTTATGAATTTGCCATTGTATGACAGAAGGTGGCCGGGATAATTCACTTTTGCACTGGTCAGTTCATGATTCACTTCACTTGGGAAATTATGGGCTAGCAACTGAAGAAGTGGAGAAAACTTTAGCTGAAATGTACACATTTGAGAGCTATTGCACATGCCAAATCACATAGCTCAGTTATGATTTGCATGACATAAGGGAGCAGATCTGCTAACTCACAGATTACAATATTACAGGCAAGTTAGAGGTTGTATTCCACCCATCCCAAAAAAACATGCACCACAATGACAAGGTCAGGCAGCAGCTTTCATTTTAAATGCCAATTAAAGGGCTAGGGATCCTGTGACATTAAATCCTTTTTCCAGGCCTTGGCAACAACAGTTGTCCATGATTAACTAAATTTAACGTTTATTGAGGATGTCGATGAAATGATAAAGAATGATTGTCTGTTGAACAGCAATCAAGGGACAGACATAACTACAGGTTCTGTCAAGCAACATGACAGACTGAGTACACAGGGATAATAATGAAGTGTAGAATAACAATATGTGATCTAATTGAAAAACATATGTTTCTGAAATTACTTGACAGGGTAGGTACTAAGAAGTTGCTTTCCCTGACTGGAGAATCTCAAAGATAGGAGAACAGCCTTAGGATCATTTAAGAATGAGAACTTTCTTGATAAAAAGGACTATGAATCTATGGAATTCTCCAAAGAGGGTTCTGAAGAAGGGTCACTGGACCCAGAACATAAACTCCTCTTTCTATCCACAGATGCTGCCAGACCTGCTGAGTTTTTCCCAGCGATTTCTGTTATTGTTTTTGATTTCCATCATCCGCAGTTCTTTGGTTTGTTTTTGCTTAGAGTTGTGAATGCTCAATTGTTGAGTGCATTCAACACTGAGATAGACAAGTATTCGGTCTCTTTGGAAATCAAGGTACATGGGAAGCGAGCATGGAAGTAGAACTGACACAAAATCAGCCATAATCGTATCAAATGATAGAGGAAGCTCAAGGGGCCGCATGGTCCACTGCTGCTCCTACAGACAGATGCATTTTAGCCTGTGAATTAAGGTGCTTTTGGGGTGGGGAAGGGTTACTGCAACTTGGGGATAGGGGAGGGGCAGAAAACGTGTGCTGGCGAATTACACCAGCTAGGATTCTTAATTACTAATTTTGTGCCTTAATGAGAGTTTACTATACAGTAGTTAAGTGAAGACAAAGATCACACTCAACAGTGATACTCATCTCAAACAACTGCCAGCACTCGCCTGACCACACCTAATAACACTACACATAATTGATACTATTCATTTGTGACATAATTGAGAGATTAATGGCTTTAGTTTCAGTGCAAAAAGCCAGGTGCTGTTGTAGAAGAGAAAAGGATGAGAGAAATGATGAAGGTGCTATGCAAGCTCGAGGTAAATACCAAACCCCAACTTTCTCAAACTCTCCTTTATCCAAGTATACATGGGATTTAAAAAATAACAAATCAATCTCTGACTGTGGCATCCTTAACATGAAATTATTACTTCCCAACTAAATATGTTCCAGATTGAAAATGCCTCATTAAAAAGATGTTCACTTTTTGAGTGTGAAATGTATCAAGTTGACTAATTATAATCCCTTCATATTTACTTTTGAAATTCATTTCCCACATCCCCCCTTTATAAAAGCACAAAAACTATTCATCCACATCAATTAAAAAAATCTTTTTCTCTTTTTGCTGATATTTTGGCACGTGAATAAACAGTAAATGAAAAATGATCTGATTCTTAACACTTCCATTAAATCTCCTTTACTTTCAGAAAACTGCAGCAACGTAGTAATTATGCTGTGCATCAAAAGTATAAAAAATATTTTCTGTAAATAAAGAAAAATCTTGATGAGTTAATCACAAAAAAGGTAGGCAAAGGAAAGATATTGTAAATCGAAGAAAAGAACACTGTACTTAGAACGGACAAAGTAACTGTTCCAATCTGAATTCCTTTGCTCCTTAATCAAATAAACCTATTTTTAATTCAAAGAATAACTGGATACCTCAAGAGGTTTTGCAACAAATGCTTGGAACTTGGCAGAATTGCCTGTTTGCATTCTTGACTTTTCTAACTTTCACTGAACCACGTATGTGCCCATGATTACTTATGGCTCAGCATGTAAATAAGTACCATTGAACTACCATGTAACATGTAGTACTGTTACATTTACATCATCATACTTAAGCAAATATTTCAGCATTGTAATTTGCCCCTCCCACCACCCCATCCTGCAATTTCATTCAACACTAATGCAAGCCCCAAACCTAAATTTTCTAACATATCAGATCTAAAACATATTCCATAACTCAAAGATAGTAGGAACTGCCGATGCTGGAGAATCTGAGAAAGCAAGGTGTAGAGCTGGATGAACACAGCAGGCCAAGCAGCATCAGAGCAGCAGGAAATTTCTGAAGAATTCTGATTTCTGAAGAAGGGTCCAGACCCAACACGTCAGCTTTCCTGCTCCTCTGATGCTGCTTGGCATGTTGTGTTCATCCAGTTCTATACCTTGTTATCTCTATTCCATAACTCAATATTCCTTGACAAATCAGTGTTCAAGATGCAAAGCATGGAGCAAACTCATTCGCCAGCCCTACGTTCCAGGATCTAATCTAAATCGGTTTAGAGCAGTCCGACCATGGCAGAGATTACTTTCCACAATTTATAATTGACTGCTAAGCTGTTAACATTAACATGTGGAATCATTCTTTAGACAATTACCTGGACAGATTCCAGATTTGCTCTCTCCATTGCAATACTCCAGAAAAGACGACTCTGCTTTGGTGGGCTGGGGCTTTCCCCCCCACCTCAAAAAAGAAAGAGCCAACTTCTGATGTCAGAGATTTTAGAGTCTTAAGGCCTGAATTCACTACTTTACTTTCAAGGAATGAGATTATGAAAATACTCGAGGTGTTTTTCAGCAGAGTTATTCAGACAGTATAGCTAACAAGCTAATACAAGACAGAAAGCTACCAACTCATCGGAGGTATGTTGCAGAAGCTAGCTCAACTCCCACATAAATTTTGAGAACATTTATGACTGAGAAAACAACTACCTTAACATTAAAAGTCCAATGAATCTTTCGCTAGGGGGTGTTTTTTAAACTCAATCGATGGGGAGATCTCTACAATTCACCGGCAATAGTAGAAATCGAGATAAGTTCCCATCTGTACATATTTGCAACTTCTAAAAGTCTATAAAGTGGGTCTTTAATGCACAAATATCAGCTAATAACTTTAGCGCCTTCCAGGAAATTGCCACAATAGGAATGGCAGGACTACAGTAAGAGTTTATAGAGGGCAGGTGCGCCTGAAGTCAGAGCCTGTTACCTATTATCCAATTATTATATACAACCTCAGTATAATGGATTAATGAACTCATGGAAGGAATGTGCATATTAAGTTGAATCAAACTGATGACACTCCCACCTCCCACACCAAAATAATGTTTATTATTCAATGTACACCTGTAAGAAAACAGACTAATTCTTGGTCTCTTGCTATAATGTCAGAGTTTGTATTTGTTTCCCTGGTACATTACCACAAAGTGAACATCCCAGCCTAAGGAGCAGCTAATCCATTATAATGAACCTCACTATGAAATACGCAAACAAGACAGGACAGAGGTTCTGTCTTGAGATGGACGGTAGAGAATAGGGACTTCCTTCAGTTCAAAATGATCAAAAAACACAATGTTACATGCCAACTTTAAAGAGTAAAACAAATTATTGTGATTATTAGGAAATAATCTAAGACACCATGCAAGTTTAAAAAAAGTCAAAAAGACTGCCTGATGAAAGAAACTACGCTTTATAAAAAAACTGAAACACTAACATCAATTCACAAACTGACAAGATTCCCACTTAACTCCGTGCCAGCGTATATGAGAAATTATGGTCTCAAAGCCAATCCTTGCTACTGGATCTAACAAACTATATTTGCCCACATTTTAGTCGAAATGAACTGATGGAGGATATTACATTATTACACATTACAGCATAAAACTAAATATTCTTTCAGACTAGCAATGTAAAATTCAAACCAGTAGTTTTCACTAAGTAGCTACAAAGCAAACAGAAGATGCATGTCCCCATATAGAGAAAGCATTGGAATTAGTACAAATTAACTTGCATTTGAAAAATACATCTAGAGCATTAAGCAGGGCAATAATAGGAAAAAGGTGTGAGTAACAGTCAGATCCCAGAAACAGAGCGTACTTGATACTATGTTGCAATGCTCCAATTTAAATAAATCAATATTTATTCATTTTTAAACCACTAACCAGATATACGAATGAAAAAGCTAGTGTTAAACTGCTAAGTCCTCAATTTTCTGATTCCAAATTTCACCAATTACGATCAGCAACAGACTTCAGACCATAAAATTTGAAGGTCCAGTGTGACTGTTCAAATCTCAATTTTTATGTCTGTTAAATGGGCATAAGTTAGTACTAGAGATGGTAAATATTTAGAAGAGTTACTTTATTTGTCTTCTACTCCTTCGAATGTTAAAGGAACCTGAATGGAAATAAGGTTAGGTAGGAGATACGATTGATACAAGTTGGTGCTGTTTAACACCAACCGCTGGTTGGGCCTTAACCTGCAAGCACAACTCCCATAGATTCTATAACATCTGCCAAGTATTTCCAGTACTGTTATTTTACTAAAACTAACTTGTAATATTCCAAACACAGTAACAGCATGGGCACTATGCCATGTGTTTAGGTTGTAGTATGGTGTATTAGATCATGTAGATAGATACCTTTCCTGCACCAGATTATTTGAATTACTCATGTCAATCATTGGAAATAGCATTACCTGTTCAGAATGAACCATGTCTTTGAATGGCCAGTAACCCATATCATGGAAAAGCCTATTCCAGTAGCTCATAAATTAATTTTTCACCTCAAAATCAATCCAATTAAGATTCTTTGAGGGATGAGGGAACAAGAACAATTTAAAAATGAACATACCATGGAGGAGTTAAATACTTAGTGCATGTATAAAATGTGATGTGACTCTCTAGTTTTACTAATCATTCTGAATGCAAAATTTTTAAAATCTCTATTAATTTTCAACCACTGAACTTCAACTTGCTCTTGGTAGTTGTACACAATCAAGCACTGCTTCCTACAAAAATGCAAAATAATTTCTTTGTATTACATAAACCCGTCAATTCTCCTGTAAATCTGAGTAACAATATGGTGCTTTGACTGCAATTTGTCTGGGGCTGGGCATGTTCCCAATACCTACGTAGTTACGTCATCAGCTTACTGGCATTTTAAGAAAAAAACAAGCAGTGCTGAATTCTGATTGACATTCATTCCGATGGGCTGAGCCTTGTACATTCCAGCAACCCAAGTTAATAAATATTAAATCAGCTGTTTTCCATCACCTTGGTGTATAAGTGTTAATGTTTCCATCATGGCAATGACTGGTCACCGCTTCCCATAATTTATAGTTTAATAACCTGCCAGCACTCACCATCTTTCACACGAAGAATACCAATTTGTTAAATTCCCAGCTTTCGTTTGCCAGCAAGATTTGCTGCCTTCAGTAGGAAATGATGGACAGCTGGCTTTGTGGGGAAGAGGAAGATCGAGAGTTTGGAAAAATATCAACTGGCTCCAGAAGCTCTGTTTTATTTAACATTCAGCTTGACAATAGTAAACTTCAATAATTGTGCAAGTCATGATGGCTGCCAGCATCTGCATGGTAACATTCATCTCTCTAAATAAGTAGAAAATAGTGTTATTACCAGTGCTCAAAAAGCTAAAGACCTGAAGGATCTAATCTCTATGATAGCATCTTCGAATGCATGACAGATTTAAAGAGGACATGCAGCATATTGAACAGTGCCATTATCCTAAAAAATACACCCACTGGTATTTCTCAAATTTGTCTTAAGCAATTATGTGCTTTCAAATTGATAGGTATTAATAGTGTACTATGCACTGCCACTAATCACTGTAGTGGAATGTTCTGACAATCAGCAAACCCACTTTTATCATTACAAAGAATGTATGACATTGAAAGATACAGTCTCCCAAATACCCCAATATTCTGGAATGCATCAGAATTTGACCTATTAATTCATGTAAACCAAATGACTCTGAGCACGATAAATAGCAGTCACTTTTAGTCATAAGTAATGAGAATGGCTTTTACTTGCACAGAACAATGGATGGAATCGTTGAGTGCAACACCAAAATACCATAAGCAGTTCCTGAATCCCAAGTAATTAAAAATAAACGCACATTTAACTTCTTCAGCTATTTTAAACAAGGCGCTTGGCAAGTAGGAAAAAATGTATGCTGACTGTAAGCAGCAGTTTTAAAGAGAAACATGAAATGTTGAGAGGAACATGAAATATTGCTAAGTCTGTGGTCATGCCTTTTCGCAGCATTTAGGATAATGCAGCACTTGGTACAATGAATTCTCTTTCAAGAAGTTAAGTAACTGAGTAGCCATGTCAAGTATTGAATGCAATTACTGAAATCTGAAGTGAGAGTGGGTGTGGACAAGGCAGGAACATAAAAGAAACTAAGGAGTACTGGAGTTCATCATGACCAGATGAAAACACTTCCCAAATTCAGTAAAATTACAACATATCATTTCTAAAATAGAATCAAAACTGTCGACACTACAGTGCACTAATATCATGGGGTGGGAGGGAAAGAAAGCCATATCAACACAAATAAGTAGAAGAACAAAACACATTAAATTGAGATTTTGTCTCTGATATAAATTTATAATTGCAAGTTGGCAAGCATGACGACAGGGAATTTCTTTACATGGGACAATGGGTGATCCTTCTGTGTTATTGTAAAACAGAAAGAACTCTGGAATGGGAAATGTCACAAGTGAAGTTGCTGAATATTACCAAACTGATTTGTTTAGGAATTCATAACTAGCTTTGCTCTGCTTCCTAACATGAAATTACTCAAGTCTGAAAATCCTGTGGGGCAAGAATGTAAGAAAAAAAATTTTTTCAAACATAGCCAAATATATTCTAGTAAACACTAGTTAATATTACATTTTGAAATGGGGGCTCTTTCTCCAGGTAAAGGCAAAGGAAAAAACAATATGACGGCATTTTTTATTTCCAATTATTTGAGCAATTCCTCGGAAAGCTTTGCTTTGCTTTCCTGGTATCAGCTGCAGCCATTACAAATTGCAAGAGGCAGAAAAGACAATTTAGTCATTTATGTTGTGAAGTATAATAGTGACAGCTTTGAATAGCTTCTTATCTGATGTACAATCCAGGATGCTCAGCTGCAGTGCACTATATTGTCAAGTCTGAAAGCTTCAATCAATGAAACGTGGTGAAAAGAAAACTTTAGCTGTTTACACATATATAAGACACCCTTCACATCAGTGCAGACAAGAGTATAGTCACAGTATGTGCACTTTTTTTTTGTAATTCTCATTTATGTGGTACCAAAGTGTTCTGAATTTAGAAAAAAAATCTAATTGTCAAATGAGATAAATGCCATCAGTTTTTCCACTACTCAAGTTTCTGTAAATTATATTGCTGGCATTGTCTTAGTAATTGGAAGTAATGCTTGAAATGTTTTTCTTCTCATCTTAAACATACCTTTCCAGTGGATAAGGGTAATATTTTCCCAACAAAAGCATTTCTGTCAAAGCTATCAGCTGTCATCTCCCTGAGTAATACTACTAGCCACAGGCTGGTAGATGAGTCTTAGGGGAGCAAATGAATCCCTTAAATCATACAGAGAAAGGTTACTATAACACTAAGAGACTAAAGTTAGCTTCCACCTAATATCCCAATGGAAAAAAAAATACAAGCAAGTCAGTTCTTAGGTAAGTTAACACTTACTCCCCAACAAAAATATCCTGTTCATCAAGTTAATAGTGTCAGCAGAAAATATTGGGATAGATAGGTAATCTATCTCCAGTTGCAGTGGCTGAGAACTCAGGCAACATGCCTGCAAACTAGTTTAAGTTGGAACAGACATATGCAGGTATTCATTGGTCATTTGCAGGATCAGAATTGAGTGAGATGAGCTTTCTCAAACCATTAGCTGCATTTAAAAAAAAAGGTTTCTGCTCATAAAGCAAGACATTCACGTTTTGCAGCTCATTCACATGCAAGGTTGGAGGCACTGGCCACAATGCACAGATTCTAGTCGGTCAGACGCATTCCTCAGCTGACATCAGAAGGGGATTGATATATTCAAAGCCTTCAAATTCTGATTGGTCAATCTTCTTTACAGCATCACTAAGAAAACAAAAAAAAACAAATACAGGAACGTAGAAAATGTAACAATGACACATCAGATCATTTAGTGTACTTGTAAACTACACAAGTGGGACGGGAGTGTTGGTGATTTCTTAACTGTAATATCTAAAATCATTGCTTAGAGTGTAGTTCTGAATAGGGGAGGTGGGGAAAAAAAAACCATGTGCAAATCAATTCAATAGAACAACAGCAGAGACCCAACACTCAATCATCTTTCTGCACTTACAGTTATATACATTGCTTGTAGCTTGGAGGAACACAAGGGAAAAAGAAGTCCAAAAGGTCGAGTAAAACTAAAACAGTTAATGTTTTTTGCAGTATGACAGCCTATAACATATCTTACCTGTAGCAGCAGTTGGAGTACTGCAATGGTGCTCAAGAAGTACAATGCAGTGTAAATCACAAGATACAACAGATCATTTACCCCAGAGATAATCTCACAAAACAAATTTGAAAATTTTGCATTCATTATCTAAATATTACAACACAAACCTTTGCAGGTGGAAAAATAAGTTGACAACACTGATTTTTTATTAAAATGACATCCTTGGCTTCATAAAGACTTAGGCCCTGAAATTAACCGCCAGACTTACCAGACTTTAAAGAATTTATTTGAGACACTTGAGAAGTTGGAATCATTTTCTCCAGACCTGGAAGGTTGAGGGGACTTGCTCAAATTTTAATGTGTTTTCACAGAGTGAATGAAAATCTTTCCACAAGCAGGCAGGTCATTGTAGGATACATGTTTAAGATAATAGCCAAAAAAGGGGGACATGGAAAACAATTTTATTCTTGTTCCAAGTTAAAATGATCTGAAATACACTCCCTAAAAGCATGGTGCAAGCAAATTCAACAGCAACGTCCAAAAGCAACATGGATAAATACTTAAAAATGAAGATGTTGCAGGGCTTTGAGAAAAGATCAGGGGAGCAGGACACATTATTTAACTCTTACAAAGAGCAGGCAAGGGCACACTGAATTTCCTGAGTTGTATGAATCTATGACACTATGAAACAATAGTTGTTCAATTTTAGCTAATTTCAAATATACTCAATGTTGTCCTACAAATCATAGTCACAGTAAAACATTTACAGAATTGAGTGAGATGAGCTCTCTCAAACCATCAGCTGCACAGTTTAAAAAAAAGACCCCTGCTACTACAGCAAGGCATTTATGTTTTTCAGCTTGTTCACATGCAAGGTTGCTGAAAGCTACACCAAAACCATATAAATTTTCCTGGTTTAATCACAGTAGATAGCACAAATGTTTTCCAGTGTAACAGATGCAGACAATAGCTTCCCCACTTCCTTTAGAACACATTTTCAATTAGAATAATAACCAAAGCCAATAGCAGAATCAAAGGCACAATTAATATCTGCTCAAGATGCTACTGGAACAATTTTAGCTGCCCACAAATATTATAATTTTGTAGGTAGGGATGGGAAATAACAGAATTGATCACTCTCCAATTCCAGATAATCAACTATTTGGGTCTTAAGAAGACAAAGGAAAACGATCATAACTTATACTTACTCATCATCTGGAGTGAGCTGGACGGGTTCATTGGTGAACTGGGAATCAAAGTTGTCAAGTCCATATTCACCAGAAATATGCGGCTTGAACGGTGGAATGACTTGCCTCTGTTCCATCTAGATCAATGATAGAAATTGAAATGTTCAATTTTACTGTAGGTTGTGTATGCTAGCTCACTCTACCTGCTGCAGGCAATGCAGGCTTCTAACAGAAGCACAAAACAACCCTTTACTAGGCAATAGGAACATAGAAACAGGAGTAGACCATTCAGCCCCTCTAGCCTGTTCCACCATTCAATGAGATCACGGCTTATCTGTGGCCTAACTCCATGTATCTGCCTTAGGCCCATATTCCTTAATACTTTTGCTTAACAAAACTTTATTCATCTCAGAATTAAAATTGATAACTGAACCTGCATCCACTGCCATTTGTGGAAGAGATTTCCAAACATCTACCACCCTGGATGTGAAGTGCTTCCTAACATCTCTCCTGCATGCTGTGGCCCTAATACTCAGACTGTGCCCCTTAGTTCTCAAACCCCCAAATTACCTTTATTTAATCTGTCTTTCCCTGTTAATGTTTTGATTTTTTTTTAATGACATCACCCTTTAACCTACTGAGTTCTAGAAGAAACAGGTCTGATTTGTGTAATGTCTCTTCATTACTTAACCCCTGAAGTCCAGGTACCATTCTTATAAACAACACTGTACACCCTCCAAGACTAAGGTGTGGGACCAGATCTGCTCACAGTATTCTAAGGGGGGTCTAACCAGAGTTTTGTATAACTGCAGCATAAACACTGTACCCTTGTACTCCAGTCCTCTAGATATAAAGGTTTGCTTTCCATGAGTTTTCTTCATTATTTTCTGCATCTTTTCATGCCATTTTAGAGACCTATGCACCTGAGCACCCAGATTTCTTTGAACTTTCACTGTATTTAACTTCACACCACCTGGAAAATACCCTGATCTATCCTTTATTGGGTTCAGAATGGATAACCTCACAATTGATTATAGTGAACTACATCTGCTACAGTTTTGCCCATTCACTTAGTCATTCAATATCCCTTAGTAATTTTATGCTATCCTAAACACTGTTTAAAATGCTGCCGACTTTGTCTCATCAGCAAATCTGACTACAAAAGTGATTGTTGCAAATTAACAACTTCAGGAAAAAACACAATAGTAATGACAGGACTGAAACGATATCGACGAAATAAAGAGTTTCCTCAAATGTTCAGGTTAAAGTACAATTTTGACAGCAGAGTTAGAAAGGCACATAGATACAGATTTAGTTTATCATAGTCACATAAGGAAAACAAATTTAAGAATCAATATGCCGAGTGGTGCAAGAGAAAGGAATTAGAAGGTGGAATACAGTGATTGACCAATGATTTTCAAGTTTTAACTTGGTAAAATTAACTTAATTCTTTCCAAATTTATGACTGATTGCCTAAATTCATTTGACTGATGCAGTTTTAGCATGCAGCATTTAAAGTGTTACAGTTAATAGTCCAAAGATTACTGTTTGCTGAATCCTGGGTTTATTTCATTCTTGGAAAATACAAGGGTCCCCTGAACTAGGGAATATTCCTAACACAGAATAACTTTTTAATCAACAATGTATTTATAATTAAATTATCAAATTACCTGCCAACAATCATATATGAACATTCATTAGCATAGTTTGATCTTACTGAAAATAAGAGGCGAGAAATAATATTTTGTTATTTACTATTGGGATGTGTAGCCAAGGTCTGTTGCATCTAACTATCAATACATTAAATAAACTACACTTTCATAAGTTGGGACAATGGAAGAGAAGAATGAAACAAAATCGGTAGTCGGAAAGAACATGGAACCTTAAGAGCTCTGCAACACAAGACCCATTCTCCTGTTCTGGGTCTCTATTTATTTCCGCTTTAGGTTTTTCCTTTCTCAATTATTTATTTTAGAAACCATTTTGCTTCAACCACCATTTGATTGGTCTTTTCATGTGCTATGGCTGCTTTAGGCAAGTACAAATTATGTCAAGGGCACTGATGGTTCTTTTGCCCATCCACTGTTCAGCACCCTGAACTCATCTCTTAAGATCTCATCTTAACCATGTAATTTTAATCTACCTATAGTTTGGATAAATCAACTTAGGAAATGCTGCCTGGAACATGGTACTCCACAAAATGTTTTCAGGGCAGTTTCTTAGAATAACACATTCTACAGCCAACCAGAGAGCAGGCTATTTTAGGACTGGTAATTTGCAATGAGACTGGATTAATTAATGACATCTCGTAATGGTATCTCTGAGCATAATATATTTGAATTTTGCATACCGTTCAATTGAGAGGAGGGTAAGTATGAGACTAGTATTTCATCATAAAAGTGAAAGGAGTAGACCATTTGGCCTTCCTAGCCTGCTTTGCAATTTTAAAAGGTCATGGCTCATGAAATCATGGCTTCAAATCTACATGCCCACCTATTCCTGACAACCATCAATCTCCTTTATAAATCATGAATCGATGCACCACAATGTTAAAAATATTCAAATGACCCAACCTCTACCAATTATCAGGGCTTTAAGAAAGGGCAGTTAAAGTGAATTGGGAAATTAGCTTAAGGGTGAGATGCAATAGCAGACAATTAAGACGATATTGTGTGACAATCAGCAAAGGTCACCTTCCAGTAAGGGAGACAAAAACAGCAAAATAAATTTAGGGCAGTTAGCCTAACTTCGGTCATAGAGATAAATGCTGGAACCTATTAGGGTGAAACAGGCCTCTTAAATCTTAATTCAATCAAATAGAGTCATGTGTAAAAGGGAAATTGTGTTTTTGGATAATTGGTTCGTAGTACAGAACTTAAACATTAATTTTAAAATTTGACTTATTTTTCTAATCAACCTGTTCATAGGTGTTATTACACCCCTCCAGAGCACGTGCAACCTGAACCCGGGCCTCTGGGTCCAGGGTTAAGGACTCCACCTCTGCACCACAAGAGTCCCCTAAACATTATTAAAAGGAGACCAAGTCAAGGGTTTACACCTTGCACTCATCAGGACTAGGACACATGAAACCAGAATTTTCTTTTGGGGCAGGGGGTCTCTTGTGGCACAGTAGTCATGTTATCATTGGCAGCAATGACAGAAAAACCAAGTAAAATAAAGTTAATCAAACCAAATTTTCCCCAAATAAAGCCATTACAAATGCCATTACTCAGTACAAAAACAGAAAAGCGGCATATTAAATGGGAGAGAGATTACAGAACTCGGTGGTACAGAGGGACCTAGATGCTCTCATACAGGAAGCACAAGAAGCTAGTATGCAAATACAACAGGTGATTAGGAAGACAAATGAAATGTCGTCCTTTATTGCAAGGGGAACGGAACGAGAAGTAGTATGTTTTGCCACAGTTATGTAGACCACTGGTGATATGACATCTGGAGCACTGTTTTTTTGCCTCCATTGAAGGAAAGGGCATAATTGACTTAGAAGCAGGGCAGAGAAGGTTCACTTCACAATTGCTTGGATGAAGGAGTTGGCTTCTGAGGAGAGGTTGTTGGACAGATTGGGTCTGTATCAATGGGGTTTAAAAGATTGAAAAGTGATCTTAGTGAAACATACAATGTCCTGAGTCTACTTGACAGGATGGATGGTAAAGTATGTTTCCCTTGTGGCTGGGCCTAGAACTAGAGAATAAAGCTTAAAAGTAAGGGTTCTGAGAATTAAGATAAAAAGGAGACATGTTCCCTCTCAAAAAATTCTCTTCACCAGAAGTGTTGTGGAGACAGGGTCATCGAATATTTTAATGATTGGTGGATACAGATCAATAGGAATCAGCCTCCATTAATAAAACAGACAACCAGACCATTTGAGGGGACAACTGGTATAATTGAAAAGCAGCAAACCCCTGCAGCCAGTGGCTCTAAATCATAAAATTGTCCTTTAACCAACCTCCTAGTCTTGCTGTCTTTACCTGCTGTCTTACTATTCACTATTTTTAAAAAATCAATCAGCCTTCTATTTGGCACTTAAGTCAAATGCGTGTTGTAAAGTAAAATGCATTGAAACCACATCATTTTCTCCATCACTGCTCAGTAATGTTATATACACAATAGTGCCCAACAAATTTATGTTTACTGTACAGAATTAACAGCCAATATTCCAGGTATTAATTTTATCCAAATTATTGTCTCGAAATTTAGTCTTGAATGAGATGGCAGGTGGCTACCATATATAATATCTATTGTATAAAATTTTAATATCTTCTGCAAAATATACAAAATGCATTTGAACAAGTACTCATATAGCTGCATTACGTATGGGACAATTTTCATTTGAAGATGAATCTGTTCCTGTAAACTCACCAAGTCCCAGTCTACGTTGCGGAAGAAAGGATTACCCTGAATATCAGCAAATCCTGTCTGTGGGTGACATCCAAGCCGCTCTGTAGGATCCTAAAGCAAAAACATCAGCTGTAAGACAGCACTGAAGAACAAAGGTAGCCTTACCCCAATCAGCATTTAGATTTAGTTTTTTCTGATGTTCGCGAGATATTGCCATAAGTGCCAAAATTAAAGTTAGGGAAGAAAATACTTGGCATACGAAGCATCAAGTCTTGGTACACAAGGACTCTGAAGTCAGTAAAACTAACCCTTGCAGCCAAAGAGCTTTCTAATCTATTCTAAATATGTTTTCATAAGCAAACTTTAAAAGCATACCTCATACTGCACTGCACCATTCTTGCACTGTCCAAATCAGCCAATGACCCTTCAAAATAAGATGACAATTTGCACCAAACAGTTTTAAGCTAGAATTGGGATGTGTTGTCATACCTATGAGAAATTGGGCTGGGTCTGCCAGACTCATTTTACAGAAGTCCTTTACAAACAGCAAAGGAAACTCTTATACCTAGAATCCCAACTGGAATTGAACCCTGTGCTAGAGATGAAAGACTAGCATCTAACTCACAATAAACAAACAAACAAACAAACAAACAAACAAACAAACAAACAAACAAACAAACAAACAAACAAACAAACAAACAAACAAACAAACAAACAAACAAACAAACAAACAAACAGTCTTAGTATTTTGGATCTTAATGCTTTTTTTTAGTTATCTGCCTCTGGAATGCTACCTCCCTATTACATACGCAATTCTGTAAAGTGGGAATGGCATACCAATTTTCCATATCTCCTAACCCTTTTAGATGTTTTGACTATGATTGCTTCACTGGCTGCATGACCTGGAGTCTTGAAATTCAATGAACGAAGATAGCACAGCTCAAATCAAATCACATTCAAAGCTGACTAAAGTTTACAATTCTGAAATTCCATCAGTTTTAATATGGAATTCTAGGTTGCACAAATAATTGAGAAGCTTCCTTGAACTAAGCTCTCTGAATGATAGAATATCATCAAATCTTTCCAGCTGCATGCTGCATCCATAGATTTCCAAGAAGGTCTAGTTCAGAAGGTATAACAAAACAACTTTTTTTTGTAAAATCAACAAAGGAATATTACAAATGCATTAACTACAACAGTAATTATCCAAATGAATTTCATAGGTGAGAAAGAGATACTAAACATTAATAGTTTAAAAAGTTGACAGCTAATGTAACTGAGGAGTTAGGCTTTAAAAAAAAAAGGAAAGAATTAACAAAGCCAAGGTATTCAGAAAGGAAGAGCCACAAAATAAGGCCAAGATGACTGGAAGGTTCCATTGCACAGAACAGAAGGGGCTGCTGTAAAGTAATTGACACCATCAGCACCAACTGTCCAAGAACATTGAAGATAACTTCAAAAGGTTGAAGCTATACTTTAGTTCTAAATATTCTGTGCAAGTTGACAATTAAACTATGCCAAGGTTGAAGCATATGCTACAAAATAAAGCAAAAAGATTAGTACTATCCATACCTTATTGAGAAATCCTTTTAACACACTAGCAGCTTTGACAGAGAGGGAGCGTGGAATACGGATTTGTTTTTCCAAAATGACTGAAATGCATAAAAATACAAGTTTGAATTAACAATGTGCCCAGCATCAATACTATTCCAATATTTAACAAATTGGATTACTAATCAAGACATTGTTCATCCTGACTGTATACACTCCAATTACTGTACATCAAATCTTACTTCAAATAAGAAAGTTAACTGATTTAGCATTATAAAGAATAAAAAGGGAATTGTGCAGATGATAAATGCTTGTTTTAGGTGCAAGTCTGTTCAGAGTCAAAAGGGTCCGTAATTATGGAGAAGGATTTCTCTAAACTTATAAAATATTAACAATGCTTGGACCGAAGAAAGACCAATGTAGTTCAGACAGTTCAAAATTATCACAATGTATACTTATCTCTAATTTCACAATTCCATCTTTTCTCAAAATAAAAATCTATGTTACTGTTGGATTTTGAGACAATATCCACCTCTGGCGTGTCTTCGGGCAATACACGATTTCACTAATTTTGAGAGAAGTAAATAATTCTGACAGTCCACCCTACCTTTGTTGGGTTTGGGCATGTGTCCCTGGTTTCAGGGTTTACGATTTTGTTAAACAATTTATCAGAGTTCAATGGATTTGTATCCCTTAGAATACTGGCAACACTGAATAGGTCTCCTTGAGACTCCTTTTCTCCAATATGCAGATTTATAGTTTCCTCACTATCATTATTTCAAAACCTCCCAGCTTAACAGCTGTCAAATAATAATTATGTAGCAGTCAACATTCATTTGGAGCAATCAAGAAGATTCTGATTAAGCTAAGACAAAGATTTGGGGTAATGAAAGGAGAACTGATCATAGTGCAGACTTTGGCGTTCAGAAGAAATTTGAACGATGGAGCAAATTGGCTAGAGTTAAGAGTTAACTGGAGGTCAACACATCTATAAAAAAAACCCATGAAAAATAACAAAAAACTGTTGTGATACATTGAGAGGTCCACCAGGCAGTGTTAGTCAACATTACAGAATACTGAACCATATCAATGTTACCGCAAAAAAAACTGGACTCTGGAAATCCAAAATGAAAACACAAAATACTACAGATACTCAGGAGGTCTGGTTACCTGTAGAGACATTGTTCATGTTACCAAGATAAATGATCTTACATCAGTTCTGTACTTCTAGCACTTTTTTTTTTAAAAATCACTTATAATCTTGTTTGACAGGTAATATAAACTTAATTTCCTTTCATTCTTGCTTATATGTGTTCAAAATGAAAGAATTTCAAATGAAAGATTCAAAAGAATCTGACAACATTTTGCATAATCTGAGGTGAGACTCACAACCCCACACAGCTATTCTAGTCAGACTGCCTGAGCATAGTAATGTTACTACAGAAGAACTGGTTGGCACCATGTTGCTAAGGAAACACTGGTGCACTCTCCATTTTTAACATTTCTGAACAACAAACTGGAGATATCAATCACACAAATGATGATGTTGTCTGAAGCAAAGCCTTGACAACGGAGAAAAATAAAAGCCAATCAAGGACTTTATTCTCAGGGCTGATAATTAAAGATAAAGAGTCCACAGCACCAAACCTAAATCTCAGACAGTGGAGAGTAGTGACAAAATTTGAATCATGTCCAAAGAGATAGTGAACTAAACTGTTGATTGAACCTGAATAGCCAGGAAATTTCCAGACTGGATTCCAGAAACAAAATAACCAAGATTCTTGCTTCTGATCACTTCCTAATCTTTCATATTCGACAATGTGTGAACGCAGATTTTGGACGACAACAGGAATGATTTTATCTGTCCACCAAAAGAATAAACAAACACACACAACAGAGGATGGAAAACTGAATTGATATATATTGCAAATTATTTTTAAAATAATTCAACAGAAGAAATAACCTGCATATCCCCTGACCTCAGGAAGATCATAAGATGTAGAAGCAGAAGTAGGCCATTCAGCCCTTCAAGCTTCACTTTGCCATTCAATAAGATCATTACTGATCTGTTATTCCTCAACACCACTTTCCTACCTAATCCCCATAACGTGCATGCCTGCTATCTTTTCTCTGCCTCTGCACAGAACTCCAAGGTCATATATGGAGTCAATGCTGTAAAAAGCATTAGCACAGCAATTGCCACGCATCGACCCTTGGAACGGTTCTGCACGCAGATTATAGGAAAAGTTGCCCGTAACGCTCCAATCCCTTAATGATTAGAAATCTGTCTCAGCTTTGAATGTATTTAATATAGGCCAATCCAATCTCTCCTCATACAACAATCTGCCATCCCAGGAATCAGTCTGGTGAATCTTCACTGCACAGTCTTTATGGCAAGTATATTTGTTCTTAGGCAAAGAGACCAAGATGACAGAATGGTCAGACCATTGCTGAGTCTGGCTTTCAAGCTTTTGTTCTTTAATTGAATTTAAACAAAATGAGAGTTGAACCTGTGACCCCAGAATATTAGCGTGCGCCTCTGATTATTAATGCGGTGATATTACCACCAAAGCATAATCTCCCGTTGATTACAGGAAGCGGAGTTTTGTACGAGTTCAATACATATGTTAAGTTCTGTCCTACTCTCAAACAACATCAACAAACTTGTATTCTCTAGTTATTTTAGAGAGCTTGAGGGAACACCAGTGACCCAATTCAGTCACCATTGAAGGGTTTTGTGGCAATCAGTACACAACAAGGACCCTCCAGGTTTATGCAGCTCTATCCCATCCTCGAGTCATCAACAATAGCCTTTAGGTTGATTTTTAACAATAGACTGGTTGCGACTGTGGTCCCTTTCAGTGGTCCACCACAAACTCACCTGTCTTAATTGCTTTCATAACAATTACAACAATTCCACAAAGTAATTTTACATGTGTCAAACAATTTTCAGATGTTTGAAAGATTTGATAAAACACTTCCTTCAAGAACAGAGAAGAAATTATAACAGACTTTTATTGAGTAAAGGAGAGACAGTTATTTGTTTTGCTAAGCAGAGAATATAAAGCAATTGGCAAAGGGATGAGAGAGAACAGGCAAACAGCATATGGTTCTGCAGTGAGTTCACAGGATCAGGAATGCAGTGACTGAAAAGTGTGAGAAGCAGTTCATCAACTTTCAATAATAGAAATACTTGAAAAGAGGAAAAAATATCAAATAACAGATGTGTGGGAAAGTAGTATGGAAATAATTGAAAAATTCTCTCAAAACTCCAGAGATGCCACTGCTGTGTAATTCTACAGGTGCAAGTAATGTCAAGGTTGATTTCATTGGTGTGTTTTGAGCACTGCATTTATGTCAGATTTCTCTTTTAAAATTTAAGTACCTGCTGAACTTTATTTTTTATACATTCATGGGATATGGGTATCGCTGACTGGACCAGCATTTATTATCCAGCCTTAGTTTCTCTCAAGGAGGTAAACGTAAGCTGCTTTCTTGACTGCTGCAGTTCCATTTGGTATAAGGAGACCAACAACGTCATCGAGATGTATTGTTCCAGGACTTTGTATCAGCAACATTGAAGCAATGGTTATTTCCAACTCAGGATGTTGAATGGCTTGGGAGGAACTTTAAGATTATGCTGTTCCCATAGATTTTCTGCAACTGTCCTTCTAGACGCAAGTGGTCATGAGTTTGGAAGGTTTTCTCTAAGCAGCCCATGAATTTCTGCTGTGCATCTTGTTGACGGCACACATTGTTGTTACTGCAAGCTGGTCATGGAGGGAGTGAATGTTTGTGGATGTGGTGCCAATCAAACAAGCTGCTTTGTCCTGTATAGTATCAAGATTCTTGAGTGCTGTTGGAGTTGCATTCATCCAGGCAAGTGGGAACTATTCCATCACACATCCAACAGGTTCCTTGCAGATGGTGGACAGGCTTTGGGGAGTCAGGAGGGAAGTTGCGATCTGCAGGATTCTGAGACTCTGACCTAATCTTATACCCACAGTATTTATTTGGCAGTTCAGTTCCAAATCAAAGGTAACCCCCAGGCTGTTGACAATGGAAATCAATGATGGCAATGCTACTGAATGTCAAAAGACAATCTCTGATTTCCGATGTTAGCACAGACTGGATCTGTAAACATGAATGATATTCTGAACTGGTGTCAGGTCCCTGAGCAATATCCATAATAATACAAATCCAAAAGTTCAATATATTTTTGAAATGTAGTCACTGTTGTAAAATATTGAACATAGCAGCAAGTTTGTGCATAAGATCTCACAATCAGCAGAGGACCAGCACCTTTAACGATGTTACCAATGACATAGTAGCCAATTCTCATTCATTTCTTAGCCCGTTGCCATGGATCCTTTGTCCTCACCTAAGACAGTTTATCACCAGTACCTTCAACAAAACAGTTTTCCCTCAATACTGCACTGATTCATTATCCTTGAACATCTGTTGAAGTCTCTGAACTGAAGCTTGAACTTTTAAGCATTTGATTCAGCTGAAGAGTGCTACCATTATGGTACGCTGACTGTTACTATCTTGAGATCTCCAACCTTCTTATCAGTGTCTCTGGAACAAAAAGTCTCTTTAGGAGGTAACGGTGGTGTGTGTTGCCACTGACAGTGCACCTCCTTACTTGCCTCATTTCTAAAACATTTCTGAAGAAATCCACAATTTTTGAGGTACTTCAACAAGCCAATGGGCCAAGGACTGGCAGATGGAGTTTACTTCAGATAAATGAGGGGTGTTGAGTTTTGGGAAGACAAATCAGGGCAGAATTTATAGAGTTAATGGGAAGGTCCTGGGGAGTGTTGCTGAACAAAGAGACTGAGGGGTGCAGGTGCATAGCTCCTTGAAAGCGATGTTGCAGGTAAGGTAGATAGTGCGCTGAAAGCGGCGATCGGCACACCTGCCCTCATTGGTCATAACACTGAGTATAGGATTTGGGATGTCATGTTGTGGCTGTGCAGGTCATTGGTGAGGCAACTTCTGGAATACTGCGAACAATTCTGTTTGCCCTTCTACAAGAATGATTTTGTCAAACTTGAGAGGGTGCAGAAAAGGTCTACAAGGATGTTGCCGGGACTGGCGGGTTTGAGCAATAGGGAGAGGCTTAATAGCAGGGGCCTTTTTACCCCAAGAGCATCTGAGAGTGTGGGGTGATTTTATAGAGGCTTATAAAATTTTGAGGGGCAAAGACAGGATGAACAGGTCTTTTGCCTTGGGTGGGGAAGTCGAAAACTAGAGAAAATAGGTTCAAAGGTGAGACGGGAAAGATTTTAAAATTATCTAAGGGGTAACTTTTCACACAGAGGGTGGTGTGTGTGTGGAACAAGCTGCCAGAGGAAGAGGTGGAGGTGAGTACAATTACAACATCTAAAAGGCATCTGGATGAGTACATGAATAGGAAAGGTTCAGATGGATTTGGGGCAAATGCTGGCCAAAACATTAGGCAAATTGGGATGTCTGTTTGACGAGGATGAGTTAGACAGGGGATCTGTTTCTGTGCTGTATGACTGTATGACTCTTATATTTGCTTTTGTTCCAAGTAGCATTCACGATATGACGTTTAACTGAATGTTTATTTTTTAAACTTGCACTGAAAAACTTAAGTCAAACGTGTGCTGCTTGCACATAGAATTGTTAGTGAATTTGGTTGCAGCATAGTGTGGGAAACACTAGTTGTATGTCAAATCTTGAAGTGTTTTAAAATTACAAATCCCAAGATGACTTATTCTCGTTTCTCAATATTTAAGGTATTTTCCCCCTTCTCATTTATTGTATGCAGGGGAATTCCTCTTCTTTGGCCCAAGGGGCAACATTAAACACAGATTAAAGCTACATATACACGTGTCAAATCAATGCGTCTCAATCCTGTTTAAAGACAGCGCCCTCTTCTGGACTAACAATGTTTCAAATTCTAACTTTTGAACATAATCATTGCTAAGGATCACTATCATTTAGTCCAAATGGTCCATCCTTTTGCCCTAGCCCAGATGGAGAACATCAGCATGTTTGTCACTTTACTCACCAGCCCCAGATGGCTGGACTGTTTGTGATGCAGAGTTATGCCAACACTTCCCAATTTCCCACTCTAGCTGAGGCTACCACAAAGGATTCCGCCTGCTCAAACTCCCCTTGCCTGTGGCATGGTGAAACTCAGCTCAAGCCAGTCATCTCTCTCAAAATGATAGAGCAGCTGATAATCTGGTCAGACTGTGGCAACTTTACCTTAATCCTAGACTCTGGATATAAAATAAAATTGGAAGGAAATATAAAAAAATAACATTTCACCTTGGAAGAGATAATCCTCTGTGTTCTGATCTGGATTATCTGAGCTCCCCACTATGTCAAAAGGTGATCGGCCTGCCATCATCTCGAACATCAGCACACCCAGAGCCCACCAATCCACACTGAAACCTGAAATTAATACAGATGACCATTTTAAACGATACAGACAAATAAAGAATCAAAACTGTAAGAACAGGGTAATTTTGTTCAGTTTTTTTTTCAGGCGTCCCAAGTATGGCCCGGCAGGCAAGATGCTTTTCTTAGTTCTCCTCCAATGCAACATTCCAACAGAGGGAGAATGGGTCAGAGTGATTGAATTGACCAAAATGAGTGTGCGTCTCTCTCTACCACCCCGACCCCCACCCAACCCCAAGCAATCACAAATCAGAGGAAGAGAGTTCTAAAGATGACCCTCTGACCGTTTTAAATGGGAGACCTCTTTTTAAACGGCATCCTCTTAGTTCTAGTCTCTGCCATATCAGGAAACATCATTTGGGCACACCCTGTCATAACTGCTTTACTAAGATCACACATCATTCTTTGAAACTCCAGCGGATACAGCTTAGCTTACACAACCTATCATAAGATAATGTGGGGAGGCGATGGCCTCGTGGTATTATCGCTGGGCTGTTAATCCAGATACCCAGAGTGTGTTCTGGAGACTTGAGTTTGAATCCCGCCAGGGCAGACGGTGGAATTTGAATTCAATAAAATATCTGGAATTAAGAATCTAATGATGACTGTGAATCCATTGTCGATTGTCGGTAAAACCCATCTGGTTCACTAGTGTCCTTTAGGGAAGAAAACTGCCATCCTTACCTGGTCTGGCCTACATGTGACTCCAGACCACAGCAAATTGGTTGACTCTTAACTGCCCAGAAAGCAGTTACAGATGGGTAATAAATGCTGTCTAGCAATGCCCACATCCCGTGAATGAATAAAGAAAAAAAAGACAGGCCCTCCATTCCAGGATTCAGTCAAGTGAATATTTTGTGAAAAACTAACACATACGTCCTTTCTTAAAGTGGAGACTAACTCAACATAGTACTCCAGATGTGCCTCACCATAAATAACAACATCCCATTTGCTGCACCTGCATAATGACATTTTGCAATTCATATGAGGACTTCCTGTACCTCAGACTTGAAATGGGTTATGCTCCTAAGGGTTCTGACCAATCACAGATAAAATGCTTAAATGTAAACACAAGCTCGCAAATACAATAGCTATTCAACTCCAGGAAATTCAACTCACATAACTTAGGTGACATATATCTCCATTACTATTGGAACAATGATTATTTTTGACAAAGCATTCATGTAAAGAAACTTCATGAGTGTTCTTCACATTTATCAAATTTCTTTTAAAAACTAAAGAAAAAATCAACTACTTTAGTGATGGTTTATCCAATGTATTAATTATTTGCACATTGGAAAATTGTGCTAATTACACACAATCCAATAAATCACTAAGGAGATCATGCAGTGATTTTACCTGTGCCAGCTTTGTGACACATTACCCAATAGGCCCTGCACTTACTTTTTCTCCAAAACAGTCCTGTCCTCTACTTCTTCCCCCAGTGGTATTTCTTTCCAAGAAAACATCCAATTCCCTTTCAAAAGTAACTCTCTTTCAAAATACCACCCTTTCAGGAAATGCACTGCAGAACTTCATCCACTCACTGCCTTATATGTTTGATCAGTATTCTGAAAAATGATTTTGAGGAATTGATATCCACACTACCAAAGCAGAGCATGCCAACATTTAAAAAAAGAGGTTTGTTAGATGGTTGCAGAATGCAAGTAGAAGAATTAAGAGAACAGGGCAGGCTCATGGGATTAAGGGCACAGTTTCATTGAGCATAAAATACTCTTCCTCAGGTCAAATGACTTTCTTTACAGTGGTTCAATAGGGATTGGAGAGGATTTTTACTCTGAAAAATTATGCCATAGTAAAACTAAAATGCCAGTTTATAGCCAGCAGAACAACAAACTGCTATACTGAATATAATACTGGGTAAATAACAAAAAACATTCAGGTTGTTATTAAAAAAAAAGCTTAGAATGGTCTTCTCTCTACCTTTGAGGCAGAAAGCCTGGGTTCAAGTCCCACCTGCTCCAGAGGTGTCCCAAAACATATCTGGAAACGTTGATTAAAAATATCTCGAATGGTCTTTGAAATGTTACGTTTTAAACTCACACTGCAAGGACTCAAAAGGTCTAGAAAGCCCCACTTGAGTGGGCAACGGTTTATGAGTCCAAATAATTCCAACCAAGACTAAAATTACAATGGGAATTGTACAAAATCAGCTTAATTCAATAATTGATATTAGATCAGGACTTTTATTTTAGTACTGCCTTCATTTTAGTACTCACAACCTATCACCCCACCCACAAACTGACTTTCAACATGGAAACTAGATTTTCACCAGCTGGAAGTTTAGAACAAAATACCAAACAACATTACCATAATCCTCCCCTCTCAGGATTTCTGGAGCAATATAATTGGGAGTACCACAGAATGTGCTGGTTGTGTCTCCAGGCCTCAAGCCTTCCTGTAATTAAAACAAAAAAATTAATTTCAAACATAATTCCAGAGAATACATTGGTAAAATTCACCAATCCCCTTAAATTCTTCGAAGATGAGAATGCAATAAACGCCATATAGGTTCTCCAGAAAAGAGCTTTAAAACCCATTATAAAACTTGGCCAAAAGAAAAACTTCCAACCATTTCCATCCTTGTCTCTTTCTTCAACTAAAATGCAAGGTTCAAGATGACTCTTGGACCACCATCAATGCTCCTCTACAATAAAAGCAATGGGAATAACAGAGAAATGTTGCGAGACCAACTCAACACAAACGCCAAGCAACATACCATTTGCTAATTCGACCACAAAGTTAAGGGGATCAGAAAAAATAAATACTGTAGTTACGAGAGTAGGCCAGAGGCATGGGAATTCTCCAGCAAGTAATGCAATTCCTGACTCCATAAAGCTGATCCACAGCCCACAAAACACAAGTCAGGACTGGGATGGAATATTCTTTACTCACCTGGTTAAGTGTATTTCCAGTAGTTAAAGCTCAACACCATCCAGCACTAAGCAATCCACTTAGCCAGCACCTCATCCACAACATTAAACATTTACATCTTCACTACCTGAATCTCAGTGGAGACAGCATGTACAATCCACCAGATGCACTGCACCAGATTGTCAAGGTGCCTTCAGCAGCACTTTCTAAATCCACAACTTCTTTCACCCAGAAGGTCATGGGAAACAGGAGTCTGGGAACTCTGCCATCAGAAAATCATGAACTATCTTGATTTGAAAACGCATTCCCATCCCTTTACTGTTGCTGGGTCAAAACCTTCAAACACTTCCCCTTTTCCTCCCCTGAAAAGAAAAGATCAACGAAAACCGAAATTCATCTTCTTGCAATGTCATGACACAAAGCTGGGCAGGAGCATGAACCAACAGGAGGATGCAGAGATGCTTCAGTGTGATTTGGAAAAGTTGTGAGTGAACAAATGCATGGCAGGTGGAGTATAGTGGATAAATGTGAGGCTTTCCTCTTTGATAGAAAAAAAACAGGGCAGGTGATCTGAATGGCAATAGTTTGGACATGATGGTAGTATAAGATGATCTGGGTGCCCTTTTACACCAATTGCTGAAAGTCAGCATGCAGATGCAGCAGGTGGTTAAGGAGACAAGTGGTAGGTTAGCCTTCATAGCGAAATGATTCAAAAACAGAAGGGAGATCTTGCTGTAACTATATTGTGCTTTAGTAAAACCACACAGAGTACTGTGTGCAGATTTGGTTTCTTATCTGAGGATGGATGTTCTGGCTGTGGAGGGAGTAAAGGTTTATCAGACTGATTCCTTGGTTAGCAGGACTGACATGAAGAGACACAGATAGATTAGAACAATATTCACTGGAATTTAGAAGAATGAGGAGATGCTCATAAAAATTTATAAAACTAGACAAGATAAACACAGGAAGGGTGTTCGCCCGACACCTGGCGAGTCCAAAACCAGGGCTCTCCGTCTATGGTTTATAGGCCTTTTAGGACTGAGTTCAACAGAAATTTCTTCATCTAGATTGGCGTGCCTGTGGAATTCTCTGCCACAAAAAAGTTGACGCGAAAACATTAAATGTTTTCAAGAACTTAGTTACAGTTTGCAGGGCTAAAGGAATCAAAGGGTATGGAGAGATAGCAGGAACGGGGAACTGAGTTGCATGGCCAGCCATGATCATACTGAATGGCACAGCAGACCCAACTTTCCTGCTGCAATTTTCTATCTTCTATGCCCAGATGTACCTCAGTTACAACAAGACGGAGAGAGAAATTACTGACATTGTCATTTCTGTCATTATAATGAAGCATTTGAAACTGAAAAGCCACAAGAGCATCTCATGTAACTTATTTTTCAAAAGAATTTTATAGCTTCTACAACTCTTAAGTTTTTTGATAAATAGGACATCAAAGGATCCAAGAATCCAAAGAATCTTTGATACAAATGCAGTGTGGAGGAGCAGAGGGATCTTGGGGTTCATGTTCACTGTTCCCTGAAAGCTGCCACCCAGGTGGATAAAGTTGTTAAGAAGGCTTATGGCGTGTTAGCTTTCATTAATAGAGGGATTGAGTTCAAGAGCCGTGAAGTTATGCTCCAGCTATACAAAAGCCTGGTTCGGCCACATCTGGAGTATTGTGTCCAGTTCTGGTCACCTCATTACAGGAAAGATGTGGAAGTGTTAGAAAAGGTGCAGAGGAGATTTACCAGGATGTAGCCTGGAATGGAGGGAAGGTCTTACGAGGAAAGGTTGAGAGCGCTACGGCTTTTCTCTTTAGAACGACGAAGGATGAGAGGTGACTTGATAGAGGTGTACAAAATGATCAGAGGTATAGATAGAGTAGACAGCCAGAGACTTTTTCCCTAGGGTGGAGGTAGCTTTTACGAGGGGACATAGTTTTAAAGTGAAAGGAGGTAGATAGCGGGGAGACGTCAGAGGTAGGTTCTTTACTCAGAGTGGTAGGGGCGTGGAATGCATTGCCGGAGAGAGTAGTGGAGTCGGCCTCATTAGGGGCATTTAAGCGGCTATCAGATAGGCATATGGATGATAGTATAAAGGTAGCGGTGGAGGTTAGATAGACCTTAGGTTTAGGGTAAAAGTTCGGCACAACATCGTGGGCCTAAAGGCCTGTACTGTGCTGTACTGCTCTATGTTCTACGTTCCTTAAATGTATTTATAAGTTAGCTCAATGTCGTTGTGAATGGCTTTTTCATTCTAAAAAAGTCAACACTCTTCTTAGATAATATATTTCTGTCTTTGGATTGTCTGATTATTGTGTGCTTCCTTGAACATACTCCTTTTCTCTTCAAAACAACACCTCACATGTCCCAACATCACTTGTACTTAGCAATTCAAGAATACAGCAAATAGGAGGCCATTCAGCTTAAATAGATCATGCCTGATCTTTTACCACAATGCCATTTGCACACCACTACACTCACATCATCTGGTATTTTTAATGGCGAAGGTAGATCACCATCATCTTCTCAGGTAATTATGAATGGATAAAGAATACTTAATTTGCCAGCAACAGTCACATTTCTAGAACAACTACAAAAATAGCAAAACCCACTAATTTCCCAAGATTAAATATGCACACTGAATAGTGCCCCACAAAAATGACCAGACCTTAAAAAAAACAGAAGAATATGCCCAAATAGGTCAAGTAGCCTCAAATTAATGGCCATTTGGTCCCTGAGCCTTCTCTGCAATTCAGTGAGGGGGAGGCGATGGCCTAGTGGTATTATTGCTGGACTGTTAATCTAGACACCCAGAACGTTCTGGGGACCCAGTTGAAATCCCGCCACAGCCAATGGTGGAATTTGAATTCAATAAAATATCTGGAATTAAGAATCTAATGATGACCTTGAATCCACTGCCAATTGTCGGGAAAAACCCATCTGGTTCACTAATGTCCTTTAGGGAAGGAAACTGCCATCCTTACCTGGTCTGGCCTATATGTGACTCCAGACCCACAGTAAAGTGGTTAACTCTTAACTGCCCTCTGGGTAATTAGAGATGGGCAATAAATACTGTCTAGCCAGCAATGCCCTCATCCCGTTAATGAATAATAAAAAAAGACTATGACAGTGGTGCCTATCTCTGGACAAGGTGGTGTGGGGGTACAGGTTCCATCTGCTGCAGAGGTGTGCAATAGCATCTCTGAGCAGGTCGACTGGAAAACATCAATAAGATCACTAATGATCCGACTGTGGTTTCAACTCCACTTTCCTGGCTGCTCCCTTGTCAAAACTCTACAACACAGCCCTTGAATACATTCAATTTCTGCACTGTTCTGCTCGCTGTGAAAGAAAATTCCAAACAGTAATGATTCTCCGAGAGGAGAAATTCCTCCATGTCTAGGTCTTAAATGGAAGGCACTTATTTTGGAACTACATCCCCATAAGGGAAAACATCTTCTCCCATCCACCGTTTCAAGGCTCCTTAGAATATTGTACATTTCAGTAAGATCACATCTCATTCCTCTGTAGTCCAGCAAGGACAGGCGCAACCTGCACAGTCTTTCCTTGTAAGACAAACACTTCATCTCAGGTATCAGCTTCCTGAACATTATCTGACTGTTTCCAATCCAGGTATGATAAGTAAAGTGATCAAACTAAATATGGTACCTGAGATGTAAGATCAGCAATGTCTAGGACTATTAAAGCCAGCTTTTACATCAATGTCAACTTACCTTACACATTCCATAGTCTGTTAATTTAATATGCCCTTCAGAGTCCAGCAAGACATTATCTAGTTTCAAATCTCGGTAAATGATCCCATGTTCATGAAGATAGTTTAAGGCCAGACTGATTTCTGAAGAATAAAATCTGTCTCAAATGAAAAAAAAAATTCAATCCCTTGTAAAAACAGAGTGAACAAGATAAAAACACATCTACTAAGAAACAGAAATCAGATACATTTATCTATCTTGTATTTTTGTAAACTAATGGGAAGAACAACACTGCTTGATGGTGACACTGTCTTCTGTCTTCCTTCAGTGTGTCAAATCAATACCATGTTCCATTTATTCTTTCCCTGAACCTCAAATCTAGTAATAAGTTCATTGTCTTCACATCTCCAACAATCTCTGGATCTTTTGTTTTTAACAACCTACTCAATTTCAAGTAACTACTAATTCTTGATTTGCCTGATCACCAGTCATATGCTTTTCAACTTCGGTATTTTGGATATCAATTTGATCTGTTAGTTAAAAAGGCCCTAGTGCTCTCTTGAACTCTCAGTTTATAACTGGAATACAGTGGCACTTGGTCAAACAGCTGGTTCCAGAAAACAACATCTGCAAAACACAAATTGCTTTTCCTGTAATAGATACAAGCTGCATTTTGAAACGACGAACACTACAAATGCAGAAATACCACAATGCATCAGGTCCATTTAAAACATAAAAATACGACACACAGTTAAGTAATAGGCTGAAATGAAAGGAAAGAAACAAGTGTAATGGAAATCATTTTTTCACCAGCAGATAATTTCATTTCTGGCACTGAACTCCCATATGGGTCTGGTTCATTGCCAGAGCAGTTTTCCTGTCACCATGTATGCCAGGTAAAAACTTGGAAGAGGTCAAGGTAAGATCAGGCAGGACAGCTGGACAGTACAGTAATGGGGCACAGGGACTAGAGAAACAATTCCAGCAATGGGGTGCCAAGTAACAGCAAAGAAAAGGAGGAAGACTGCAAGAGATACAGATGATCTCAGGCTTTCTGACTCAACCAGATATACATCTTGAAGAACCTCTGCACGTAAAGACACGTGATACAAGTTCCTTTGGCATCCCCAATTTTCAGATTTCGCTATTTCTAAAACAAGTAGAAGCCCAATTTCTCTAACCTGGCATGCTCCTCTGGAAGTTTCCGTTGTCTCTGCATATGAAACATCAAATCTCCACCATTCACATATTCTATGACGAAAAATAGCCTGCAACCAATAAATTTAAATTAGCCATTAAAAAGCCAGACGTTTTATTCACTAAATGGACAAAACCTTCAATTTGAGAATTTCTAAAGAGATGCTTCTTCGAGAAGAACCTGGAAGGAACTGATTATCATTATTATTTATTTAAGGATTCAAAACTGCAGTGAGGTTAATGGAAGTTGAAAGGAATTTGAAAATCAATTCATTAAAGTATTCACCGAAAGGCTTGAAATTTGCGTGAAGTCATTCCTGCAATTTTTTTCACACTGCAACAGTAGAGACAGTAGTAATCTTGGCACCAAGACCACTTGAAAAGAAAATCCCTCATCATCAGAGCTTCTTTTATTGACAAACCAAGCCAATATAAATAGCTAAATTCATGAAAGGAAGAAACACTGGGGCTGGGAATTATTTGACAGCTATTACTGCTGTCGGCAGATGATTCAGCAGTAGATAAATCATTTGCATATTCTCTTGCCTACATAGCAAACAAAGAGCAAGAAAAGACGTCCACATAGGAATAAAGTGGTACCACAACTTAAAACACTTTTCTAAAAAAACATCAAAGTCCATCCCAGTACTTTTCTCTGCTCAAACAAAACAAACATGCCGAGGAATGCATCCAAAAGTGTCAGCCAGCTCTTGGCACCTTCTGCAAATGGCCATTTCAGAGTCCGATGCCAAGTAATTGTATACTTGATAATCACAGCCAAATATAATATTGCCCTCACGAGACATGCCCATGGGTACATTTTCCAACAATAATCAGGAAACTCTCCCCCATCTCAAAGTAACTGATAAAGTTGTCTGCCTTTAGACAGCAATTCAAGGTTCCCTCCTTTGTTTCAACATCACCCTTGAAGCATGACAGCTACTTGAGAAAATCTGGAACTAGCACCCCTATAGGCACAAATAGTCCAGGTTCCACAGGAAGACTTTTTCCTTTGCTTGTTAAAAACAAAACTATGCTGTCAATTATGCTGTCTCTTCTAGTGTAACTTAACTTAGTACAATTCAGCATCTTGGAAAATAAATCTTTAAAAGGGTCTTCAAATATGGTTAGTATCCACACTGATCCGTACTGCTTAGAAGCAACAACTCAGATGATCAGTTTCTTCCCAAAGTATGGACTTCAACCATGCTGGATTATATGAGAACAGACTAGTTATTATACGAGTCACAGAAGCTACCATAGATGATGTGTTCCATGTAATAAATAATAATAATAAATAATAATAATAGGGTAATAAATTTATGGAATAAGTTAACAGGAAAGGTCAAAGTCAGCAGTGTAAATTTATTTCTGCTATTACTTACTACAAAGAAATTCTATGTAAAATGTCAATAATGCTTCACCGATCTCAAAAACCTATTGTACACATCACCAATCCAAACTACAGTAAATAGTGACAAGAATCTTTAATTTACCAGCTTTCCTTAGTAAGGCACATATACAAAGATTGATTGTGATCTCATTACATATTGCAACATTAACAGGACACAGCATTTGGAAACTCATCCCACCTGCTCTCGGTCTGGAAGCAGGAGTGCAGTCCTACAAGGAAAGGATGATTCGATGCCTGTTCAAACACGTGCTTTTCTGTCTGTACCCAATCGATATCCTGTCAAAATGCAAAAAAAATTAATAAAAAACTTTAAATCAGACAGAATTCATATTTTACTTCTACCAAGTTTTCACAACTTTTGCCTCTTTCCTCGAAAAACTGAGTTACTGCAGAGTTAAAGGAATCAAAAGTTATTTGTTTACCATGCTAAAATTAAATGTATTGAAGCACTCATATGCAAACATCAAATCACAAGAATTACACAAAGTACAATTAACTTAAAACCCCTAAAAAATACAGTATAAAATCAAATACAAAAAGAACTGGCCATAAATTAATAATATCCAACAAGGTGAACATGGTAAAGCCATCACTACAAGATATCTCTAAACAAATACTTTCATTTATTTAAACGTTTATGCAAAATAATTATTTCTAACTTATGACACATTTGCCAGAAACCATTCTCCACCTCCAGCATAAACCCAAGATTAGGCATGTGATTACTGCCACAGGATCATGCTTGCAAACAGAGTTCTACAGACAAACAAGTTAAAAACTTTGTTTCAAAAGTAATAGCAAATGCTCTCCACGTTTTCTCTGAAACTCTTAACACCCCTTGAAAGACTTTTTTTCCAATATTCATGTAACCACGTTCAACTTTGTACATCAAGACAGAATGTTTCGCAATGCATCTGTTAAAAGTTAAATCTCACTTACAAGTAATTACCACCCTAGAACAAAAAGAGCAAAGAACAAAGAAAATTACAGTACAGGAACAAGCCCTTCGACCCTCCAAGCCTGCACAGACACACTACCCGTCACAACTAAAACCCCCTACCCTTCCGGGGATCGTGTCCCTCTATTCCCATCCTATTCATATATTTGTCAAGATGCCTTTTAGGAGTCACTATAATATCTGCTTCCATTACCTCCCCGGCAGCGAGTTCCAGGCTCCCACCACCATCTGTGTAAAAAAGTTGCCTCATACATCACCTTTAAACCTTACCCCTCACACCTTAAACTCATGGCCCCTGGTAACTAACTCTTCCATCCTGGGAAAAAGCTTCTGACTGTCCAGTCTGTCCATGCCCTTCATAATCTTGTAGGCCTCTATAAAGTCACTCCTCAACCTCCATCATTCCAGTGAGAACAACCCAAGTTTCTCCAACCTCTCCTCACAGCTAATGCCCTCCTTACCAGGCAACATCCTGGTAAATTTTTTCTGTACCCTCTCCAAAGCCACCACATCCTTCTGGCAGTGTGGCAACCAGAATTGAACACAATATTCCAAATGTGGCCTAACTAAGGTTCTATAAAGCTGCAACATTACCTGCCAATTTTTAAACTCAATGCCCCGGCCGAGGAAGGCAAGCATGCCATATGCCTTGTTGACTCACTTTTCCACCTGCGTTGCCACTTTCAGTGACCTGCGTACCTGTACACCCAAATCCCTCTGCCTCTGAGTACTCTTAAGGGCTCTGCCATTTACTGTATATATTCTATCTGGATTAGACCTTCCAAAATGCATTACTTCACATTTTTCAGGTTTAAACTTCATCTACCATCTCTCTGCCCAAGTCACCTACCGATCTATATCCAGCTGTATCCTTTGATGGTGCTCATCACTATCCGCAATTCCACCAACCTTTGTGTCATTGACAAACTCACTAATCAGACCAGTTACATTCTCCTCCAAATCATTTATATATATATTATAAACAGCAAAGCTCCCAACACTGATCCCTGAGGAACGCTACTAGTCACAGCCCTCCATTCAGAAACACACCCTTCCACTGCTTCCCTCTGTCTATGACCAAGCCAGTATTTTATCCATCTTGCAAGCTCACCTCTGACCCATGCGACTTTACCTTCTGTATGAGCCTGCTATGAGGGACCTTGTCAAAGGCCTTACTGAAGTCCACGTAGACAACATCCACTGCCCTGCCCTCATCAATCATCTTCATCACTTCCTCAAAAAACTCAACCAAGTTAGTGAGATACGACCTCCCCTTCACAAAACCATGTTGCCTCTCGCTAATACGCCCATTGATTTCCAGGTGGAAGTAAATCCTGTCTTGAAGAATCCTCTCCAATAATTTCCCTACCACTGACGTAAGGCTCACTGGCCTGTAATTAGCTGGATTATCCTTGCCACCCTTCTTAAACAAAGGAATAACATTGGCTATTCTCCAATCCTTTGGGACCTCCCCTGTAGCCAGTGAAGATTTCCCTCAACGCCCCAGCAATTTTCTCCCTTGCCTCCCTCCTAGATGGATACAATCCCTTATTTCAAATTAAGCTAACATTTTCTGAATTACAAAACAGCAGATTAACAGACTGTGCTGATTGCTTAACTGCTACATAAACAATCAAATTGATCAGATCTTTTCATATTGCCACATTATACTGCGATACTTTATGTTGATTTCAAATAGGGAAGATGTCTGCATAAATAGCTAGTTAAGGATTTGGATAAGAATGGATTCAAGGAAGCCATCAACAAACAGTGCAAGTTAATGGTACAGTAGTTCCTCCCAACAAAGTCTAGATTAAATTAGCCAATTTACAACAGGAACTGCATATTCTATACCTCCAACCAATTTAAACCACAGCAGGAAAGAGAAATTTACTTTTAAAATGAAAATCTAAAAGTCATTCCTATAGCAAGCTGTGCAGTAAGTTTAACTTGGAGACAATCGGACTGCAGATGCCGGAAGCCAGAAGCCAGAATCCATTGATGTGAAGTCTGAAACATCGACTTTCCTGCTCCTCTGATCCTGTCTGGTCTGCTGTGCTCTTCCAGCATCACACCTATTGACAGTAAGTTTAACTTACTTTGTAGTCAATGTCATGTGGTCAAAAGAACTACAATGTTAAGATTCCATGCCAAAATGAAAACAGCTTGAAGGCCAGTAGAAAAATTGGATTCCTTCCAAACCATAATTAAAGGAAATAGTACAAAATTAGTGAATCTCAGTACAAGAAATCTGTATGAAAAATCTCCCATGGCTAAAACGTTATCAAGACAGACAATCTTTTCTGCTTTGCAGGTGTGTACTGAGTATGTAGCCACAATTTCCTTGCTCATTTTCATCTTTCTCCAAAACTGAATCCAAGAGAGGTGCAAAAGATCTTTCCATGCTTCTATGGCATTCTCAAGTAACTGAACTTCCTAAAATTTCTTGCACAAAGATTTTTAAAATTTCCACTAAAAGTTATCTTAAGATTCAGCTTCCAAAACATCATCACTTCCTACATCTACAATTTTTATAATTTCAAAATCTAACAACTGCAATGTGATTAAATGTTTCTCACCTCATCATCATTAACCAGTTCCTTCTTCACAACTTTCATTGCATAAATGCGCTCTGTCTTTTTCAGTCGAACGAGGAGGACTTTAGCGTAGCTACCTCTTCCGATGACACGGATTAGATCGAAATCTGGAACACCTAAACTCGTGGGAACTTTTCCACTTTCCCTGCTGCTCATGGCCTGTTCAGAAAAACATGCCAATATCAGATGAGATTAAAATGCATCAAAATGGATCAGATCTGATTAAGTTGAAGGCAGCTGGTCAATTCAAGAGCCAACACTGCAGACAACCTCATATTTGCAAATTTGCACTGATCACTACAGCCCTCCCCAACGTTTAACAGGCATTTTTACAGACACATAAACAGGCAGGGGCATGGATGATGTGCAAGCAGATGGAATTAGTTTAGAATGGCATCATGGTTGGTGCAGAAATGATGCACTGAAGGTCCAGCTCTTGTGCTGAACTGTTGTAGGATCTATGGCCTCCAATTACTAACCACCTGCCAGTGGAAACAGTTTCATCCAAACTATTTCAGCTGTGTTGAGAGACTGAAAAAAGTGGGTTATTCTCCTTACAGCAGAAGAGAAAACAATATTTGGTCCAGGTGCTCAAAATTGTAAAGGATTTTGTTTATAAGATTAACATCAATGTCAATAGAGTAACAGACATGTGGAAACCTTTATTAGATATAGCAAGCTGATGTGATCAGGGTTAGGATGGACTGTCAGAAAGTGCATCTGAATCCAATTCATAACAGTGAGAGAGTTTTGCATATATCTATAGAACTGGTAGGTATATTGAATGAAAACTGTCTATGATTCTATCTTCTGTCAAAATGCCTCAATAGTGAGCACTAAAAATCTTTCCTTTAACCTTAAGTCATTTTCAGTAATTTTTTGATATCAATAATGGGTAGCATGGCTGAGCGGTCTAAAGCACTGGTTTAAGGCTCCAGCCTCTACGGAGGCGTGGGTTCAAATCCCACCGCTGCCATTTGTGTTTGTGGATTGGTGTTAGCACCTTACCCTAACTACAAGCCACCAGTGCTTGTTTCTACAACATACAGCAGCACATGGATGATAGAATAACGTAGCGTATGGAGGGTAGTTTGATCTTAGTTGGATAATTGGTTGGCACAACATCGTGGGCCGAAGGGCCTGTACTGTGCTGTACTGTTCTATGTTCAATAACTGCACTGCATTCCTCCACTTGGGGGTTAATGAAAAATAGTTTATAAAAATTTAGAATAGATGCAGCAAAAATGATCTTGAACACCAGCCATCTTTCTGTGCAACCATGTCATGAGTCCCATCACTCCCCTGTCATATTCAGACCTATTCAAAACATTGCAAAGGAAACTTTAGTCTCCTTCCTTAACAAGGCCGCAGACCTTAATATTGTATTTTAGAATGTTAACAACCAACACAAACAGATTTTTGTTTTGTACCTCTTTTTCCTCACCAACATGGTCCAGGTTTTCTTGGCTGGAAGATTTGTACGGAATAACTGCAAGGAGCATAGAGATATATTCTTTATAAGGCATTAAACTGATGGAAAAATAGATCTTCACACCTTATTAGTATTTAATTACTTATTGCAGAGATTGCTCAAAATTAGGAATTTTTTTTACCAAATCCCAAGGAGGATTTATTTTTAAAAAAGTCTCCACTGTTTATTGCGACATCATCTTACAAACATTATTTGCCTGCTGTACAGAGTTGGCAATTTAATGTGGTAGAATAAAAGATGATTTCAATCACAATTAGCAGAGAAGACCACCAAAATGGTGATCCTGGGAAAAAGAAATTTGTTAAAAAATGAAACCTTTTTCTTGAAATAATGAATTTTATAAAAATCCATTCGTAAGGCATTGATCACCACCGAAAGAACAGTAAAAATTCACAATCTCAGCACATGAAGAAATTAAGTGAATCATGAATAAGAAGCACGCTTGAAGGATAGAAAACACTAAAAGTAGTGTGGTTTATCTCAATCATGAAGGTTGAAGACATGCAAACAGTTGTAATATATTTCTACATAACAAAAAAAAGTTTTTAAACAATGGGAAGCCCGTGCTCTTTTAAAAATATCTGAAGGAGGAGGCATTAGATGTTTTAATGGTGCGAAAATCCCGAGGACTGATGAAATGTATCCTAGGCTGCTTTGGGAAGCAAGGCAGGAGATTGCTGGGGCCCTGGCCAGAACGTTTAATACTTCACTGGCGAAGTGCCAGATGACTGGAGGATAGCAAACGTGGTTCCTTTGTTCAAGAAGAACAGCAGGGACGGGCCAAGTAATTACAGACCAGTTGGTCTGATGTCAGTGGTGCGTAACTTATTGAAAGAAATTCTGAGGGACAGGTTTAATCAATACTTGCAAAGACAGGGATTGATCAGGAATAGTCAGCACAAATATGCTGGAGGAACATCCTGCCTGACAAACTTAACTGTTTTTTGAAAGGTTTACTTGATGTCGGCATTGCAGTTGATGTTGTTTAAATGGACGTCAGTAAGGCCTTTGACATGATCCCACGTGGAAGGCTGGTCTAAAAGCTAAGAGCCAATGGCATCCAAGGTAAGTTGGCAAACTGGATCCAAAACTGGCTTGCATACACGAGGCAAAGGATGATTGTAGAGGGTTACTTTTATGATTGGAAGCCTGTGACCAGCATTGCACCACAGGGATCAGTGCTGGGACCTTTGCTGTCTGTTATGTACATTAATGACTTTGATTAAATGTAATAGATATAATTAGCAAATTTGCAGATGACAAAAATTGGGTGTTGTTCATAGTGAGGAGGATGGTCTTAGGGTAGAGTCTGATATTGATCAGCAGGTAATGGCAGGTGTAATTTAATCCCAATAAGTGAGAGGTGATACATATTGGGAAGTATAAGGGGAGGATATATAGAATGAATGGTAGGTCCTACAGAGTACTGAGGAACAAAGGGACCTTGGTATGCAAGTCCATTGATCCCAGAAGATGTCAGCAAGAGACAGACAGGGTGGTAAAGGAGGCAAACAGGATGCTTGCTTTCATTAGCCAAATGTAGAATAGAGCGAGGAAGTCTTGTTACAACTCTATAAAACATTGGTTGGGCCACAGATGGAAGACTATGTGCAGTTCTGGTCAGCACACTATCTGAAGGACATGGCTGCACGGCAGGGGGTGCAAAGGAAATCCACCAGGATGTTGCTTGGGATGGAAAGTCCCAGTTATGAGGAGAGACTTGACAGACTAGGTTTCTTTTCCTTGGAGCAGAGGAGGCTGAAAGTGGATCCAATTGAGGTGCACAAAATTATGAGAGGCATTGACATGGTAGACCGTGAGACTCTTCCCAAGGCAGACATGTCTAAAACCAGCAGACATTAGTTTAAGGTGAGGAATAGGTGGTTTAGAGGGGGTATGACAATTTTTTTTGCCTGGAGGGTGGCAGAAATATTGCTGCCCGAGCGTGTAGTGGAGGCAGGTACACTCGCAACATTTCAGAAGCACCTACATGGACAGGGCAGAATAGATTATGGACCATGTGCAGGAAAATGGGATTAATGTAGTTTGAGGTTTGTTGGGCAGCATAGACATAATGAGCCAAAGGGCGTATTTATATGCTCGGTGACTGAATTCGAGTCACAATTTTATTTGTTCTGAACTAATTCCTACATTTTTCTATATACTTGGCACATAATATTGTTTTCTACAAAATGTACACATAACTCACCACTCCAATGCAGTAACTCCAATAATATTCATTAGCAGAATTACAAATTGATTAACATCTAATGAAAAAATAAACCTGTCCTTTAAGTATGACCATTCTCTTCATGGTGTAGTTTACAAATACCAAATCAGCGATCTTTTATTACATCACTAATTGGTTCACTTCCAAGAGATACATCGCTAGAGAACAAGACAGTGAACAAGTTGGCTGTAGAGCTTCTCAAGTCAGCTCCAACACTCTTCTAATATCTTCCATATTAGCTTCTGATCTTTTACATCAGTATTCTATATCGCTCATTTCTTCTAGTATCCAAAAGTCTGAGTTTCGGATATACTCATTGCCGGAATATTTACAGCTCTCTGGAGGAATGAGTTCCTAAAATTCAGAATCCCAAGTTAAAGTGCTGTTCCTCATCTCAATAACTGACTGAACCCCACATGATCTCTAATTCTAGAGACTCTCAATATCTATTCTTATTAGTTCTCAAAGAACACAAGGAATCAGAATATTTGGCCACTCAAGCCTGCTCGTCATTCATAATATTATGGCTGGTTTGATTGCAGTTTTAACTTCAACCCAATCCCAGCTCCTCCCTTCCACTATCAAACAAGTGTAGCCTTCTTTAGATAATGTGATCGAAAATATCCCCAGTAACCAGATGTGGTCTCACTGAAGGACAATGAAAATGTCATGAGACTTCTCCACTCTTGTACTCTAATCCATTGCAATGAAGGCTAACATACATTGCCCTTTTAAATTGCATCCTTAAATTAATTTTGGGACTGGTGCACAAGGGTCATTTAAAAGGTCTATCATCTAAAAAGTAGCTATACTTACATTCTTCCAACATATTATGCCATTTAATACTTTCTTATCCAATCAATAAACCCCCTTTTTTGCTTTAGCAGTCTCTTTTTATTCCCTTGCTTTCTCACTTAACTTTGCATCCAACTTAGTTACACCGTACTTTATCACCTCATTCATATCGGAGGTAAAACTGTAAATGCTGAGGCCCAAACACTAGTCCTTATGAGACTTTACTACACCTCAACATCTTGAAAATAACCCATTTATTCCAATCATTGTTTTTCAAAAAATCTGTTGGTCATCATCAATCCATGTTAATAAATGATCCCCAATCCCTTGACCTCTCAACAGGATAAAAACAAAAAGTTTTAAAGGAAGATCACTGGACACAAAATGTCAAATCTGCTTTCTCTCCACAGATGCCTCCAGGCCCGCTGAGTTTCTACAGCAATTTCTGTTTTCACTGTAAACGCTTAAACAGTGCTCACTCAACTCCAATATCTCCCCGTACTGTCTAATTTAATATATTTTTAGATGATACTCTATTCAAGCTATTAAAACTTCCTCCACACACAATTCTCACTGACTATTACTCTTCTGAATTCCTGTTGCCAGTGCCCAATTTATCAGATTTTTTTTTAAAAAATAGGTTCAAACGGCCGTATATTGTACTGATTTTACAACAAACCCAAAAGACTGATTATGCATGCAATATCTGCGATTGAACAAGTTGACCCTTCATAGATAATCACACATTCAAACTCAGAGGATTATCGGTCAAAGAGAATACTGATCAGCAGATCCCCATGCCTCCATTAAGCAAGCATAAGAGGCCATTTGGCCCATCAAGCCTCCTGCATGACCAAATTGATTACATTTCTCTACATTTTTTATTTTCTAGTTTTCAAATATTCAATCAATTTCTTCCTTCTCCACTACAGTGTTTCTTTGATTCATTCATGTGTCACTGGCTGGGCCAACATTTATTGTCCATCCCTAACTGGATCAGACAGCAGTTAAGAATCAACCTGACAGCAGAGTCTGAAGTCACATGTAGGCTAGACCGGATAAGGACAGGATATTTCCTTCCCTGAAGTGAATCAGATGGGTTTTTCCAACAATCAGCCACAGTTTAACAGTTATTCTTAGACACTTAATTCCAGATTTTTATTGAATTCAAATTTCACCATCTTCCATGGCAGGATTTGAATCCAGGTTCCCAGGACACTACCTGAGTGTCTAGATTAATTAGCTAGCAACAACAGCACTAGGCCATGGCCTATGTATTGTTTTTGCAATGGTACTCTATCTATTATATGTATTACGGTGAATGGGTTGGACCTTGATGCAGAAACAGAGAGCAGAAGAAAGCCAGTGGGGCAAGTGGCATACAGACAGATGGAGCTCTTTCACACATTCAACATACTTTTAATTTCTTTACATTCTGTACTTCCCATCTTCTGCAAAAACTGGCATTAATGATCATGACAATGGTGCTTGCCAGAAATACAATGCCTAATGCAGTGTTGAATTCTGTATATCAGGAAACTTGCAGATTCAGTATAATTTACACTGAGTTAGCTACACCAACATTGGGCTTTGTGAAGAGAAGGAAGAATGACGTAGAAGGAGAAATCCATTCAGATTTTCTGCTCCCAACTGTTATGTAATTACTCATGCTGCAAAGTATGGATGTCAAGATGGAATAGGATTCAGCTCATTGACAAAGCGCCTGAATCATCAAGCACCCTACGACTTACTTTTCTGTCTAATAAAATGATCTTAGGAGGAGATACTGAACATGTCTTCTATGACCCATTGTAAGCTTTCATGAAAGAGGGGAGAAAGTTGAAGACAGCAAGTGACTCTCAGGAAAAGTTCCTTCTGATCAGTATTTCTATCTGTTCTGCCCACTGAATTCAAAAGGCCACAGATGCTTGGCAGCAAGTTAAAACATCTAAAATATTAATGTTAAAGAAAGACTCGCCCCTTACCTGGTGCAATATTTTCTGCATTGTCAGCACCTGGAATCATATGCTCCTAAACCAAAGCACAACATTAAGATTTTCAGCTGTGAAACAATATGCGAAGTTAAACAGCAATTAAAATGCAAGATGATAATTTAGTAATATCATCAAACTGACCCAGAATCACACTCATACCTGATCACTACTTCCCCAAGGATAATGAGTAGGATGTGCGCTGATCTGTAAAACAAAACAGTCAATGTACATTTCACAAATATTCCCTTTTTAAGGAGGAACCAAATTTTAAACATGGCACAAGTGTTGTCAATAGGGGATAATTTTTATTTGGATAAGCCCAAGTTGCGTCATGTCTTATGCCATCATGCCTCATGCATTTTCTTGCTCCATCATTCCAGACTTACCTCAATAATTGCCTACCATGCCCTCATCACAATGCTGGCAACTGATGTCTGCCCCATCTTACCTCTTTGCAGTTCCCAAAGCAACTCGTCACTCAACAGGTGTCTGCCCAAAGATTGGCATCCCTTGCATCCATGTCATTTGTAAAGCGCCACTATGCACCCAGACATGGCATTTTAAAGCTTCTTTGCTCGTTGACAGACAGAACATGCCACAGAAGGGGAAAATGGAATGGCATCATGCTTCTCAGACAGCAATCTAGAATCCTGGTGGACAGGATGGTGCACTGAAGAGATGTCCTCTTCTTGGAGGACTGATAGAAGAATAGTGCCATCAGAGACCTTGCCAGCCTGGTCTGAGATTGCCACCCAGGTCAGTGCTGTGTCCAGGATGCAGAGGAACAGCCAGCAAAATAAAAAGACTGTCCATGACCTTCTCTGCTCCACCAGGGCGTCTCACTTCTCTCTGCCGCATCGCAACCTACCAATGTCACTACACACACCTCTTACTTGCCCCATCACAATCATGGTTGCCTGCAGCATTCTTCTTCATCCATTCTCACCCCATCAACCTTCCTTACCACTAGTCCTGATGCCGTCTGGACTGCCTCAATTTTTTTGGAGTATCTCACCACCCTGCCCTCATACTGGCGATGACAAATAACTCTGCCATCCACTGTCATCTCATTCATTCCTGCCTTTTTCCTCATTATGGAGAAGACAGTCCATATCAAGGTAGAATGAGCCTGTACTGGTGGAGGGGTGCCCAACATGCATGTCTTCACCTGCTCACAAGAGAAGGCTGGGACTGCTCAAGCAGGGATGTGGAGACGTCTACATCACTCCAAACAGGCATGTACCATCCGCATGCCACTCTCCCAGCAAATCACAGCACACCACTGGTGCCTTTTCTCTCTTCCGTCTTGCAAAAACCTTCCAAGAAACACCCTTTGAACCTCGACAGACAAGAGTACCCAGACCTCAGGGGAAGCTTTAGCAAACTACATCTTGGACTTAGAACCAGCCAGATTTAGAAACCTTAGTGGGAATTGTAGACTTAAGAGACTGTGTGTACACAACCCAGTAGGCACCTCACCGCGAGAGTTCTGCTGATGAAGCAATGGCCCAGGCAGATGACCCTGTGATGTTAACCATCAAGGGCCACATCCAAACGGTGTATCTAATGGTGAAGTGCTGTTCCTACTACCTGCCTTGGAAGTTCACCTCTGCTATCCTGACAGCAGTTTACATCCCAAGCAGAACTGGAGGGCATACTTGATGAAATATACACTGCTACAAATAGCCTTGAGATGGAATACCCTGGGGCCTTGCTCATCACTGCCGGTGTTTTAACCAGGCCAACCTCAACAATGTGCTGCCAAGATACCAGCAACACATCGCGTGTCCCATCAGAGGTCCAAACAACCTTGACCATCGTTGATAAACAATCAAAGCCACCTCCTGCTCCAACATCCACTCACATTTTGGAAAATCAGACCATAAAGCTGTACTACTTCCCCTGGCTTACAAGCAGAAATTGAAATGTGAAGATCCAGTACAGAGTGTCGTACGTACTGGTCTGAGGTAACAGATGAGCTCCTATGTGACTGCTTGGAGTCAGTGGACTGACCCATAATCAAGAATTCAGCAGCCAACCAAAATAAGTACACCATTACTGTCATAGACTTCATCGGTAAGTGTGTAGAGGACTGTGTGCCAATTAAATTAATCCGAGTGTTCCCTCAAGCACTCCAAGGGTCACTCTACCAAAACTCCAAGGCCAACAGGATCCACAGCAGAGCAGGCCCTCACCAGCCCAACTCTAAACGAGTACACTGAAGTGCGATGGGGAGGGGGAGAAAGGAAACCTATTGAGGACATTTTAGTGGTACAGGTGAAAGTGAATTTTCTGTAATGACAGCAGTACGGAGAGGGGTCTGGGCTGAATGCCTAGTGAAAAATATACACAAGGCACTGGACCTTAGTGAAACTTTTGCTCCTCTATACCTCCCAACTCTCTGTGCGCAAAGGCAGAGATGTCAAGGAGGTATAATAGAGAGGGTCAATGCTATTGGATGGCCAGGAAGTAAGCAGCATGTGCTGCAGCTCCCTCCCTCACAGGTCAAGTCACTCACCCTGCCTACTCAATATGCACGCAGCCAATTTTTTTCCCCACTGCACACTTTCGAGGTATAGCGAGTGGTCCTCTTGCATTGCCTTCTGTGTTGGTGAGCTCCAAACATATCTACATCCCCTTCTAAGTAACACATTGTGCCCCAGAATTTTAATTAAATTAAAAATTTGAGCACTCAGAAGTATAAAGTTCTTCCTTCTGAGCATGACCATTTTTTGGGAGACTATTTAAACTGTATTTAACACTGGGATTCACTCTTTCTCCTTATTACACACACACACACACACACACACACACACAATTTCATTCCAACATTTCATTTCCCATCATGCAAGACTCACATCAGGAGTGCTGAAACTAAAATCCTGCCCATGATGTCAGATCAGTAAGTCTTAATTTGAAGGTTTTCTTTAAACTTGCATCTCGGCTTTAGGAATAAAACAAGCATTTGACATTTCTCTGAATTATGGCATTGTACATCTTTTGTATATTTTTGCTTCGATTTGTATACCTGCCTTCCCGAGAACATAAAGTTCTACTGCATGCAGTATCAAAACACAAGTTTTCACCCTGCAATAATATTTATTTTTCATATCAGCCAAGATGCCTGTTTCACAATTGCTGGTAAGGGCAGGATTGCGCTTGTCTGTCAGACGTTCTCTGTCCCTCACAGCATGTTGAGGACATCATCACAGGCACAGGTGATAATGTAGTTAGCGCTCAGGAAATGGCAGACTTACTAAATAGCTACTTTGCATCAGACTTCACAGATTGAGGATAAAGTTTAATGCCAAGGAAAATTAAAAATAAATCACAGATTGGAACTACTAGATACAATTTGAGCAGAAAAAGATGATGGAGAAACTAATAAGATGAAAGACAACTCCAAGAATATATTATCCTAGGAGTGGACTTAGAGCAGGTTGTTTGGAACAATACCAGCGTAAAGCATTAAATTATGAGAGCAGATTGCATAAACTACACTTGGATTTCCTTGAATATAGTAAATTAAGGAATGATGTAAATGAGATGTTTAAGATATTCAAAATAATTTGATAAAGCAGGCAGAAAACATTTTCTCTGCTAAGGAATTTAGAGCACTCAATATTGTTATCTATCCAGATGATTTCTTTAAGCAAATATCCTCCATAATTAAGTCCTAAGAATTCTAACATAAATAACAAACTTATTTTTAAACTGGAGCTGGATTTTCTGGAGTTAAAATCCAATGGAGTTACTTGTTAGTAATAACAGATTCAAACGTTATTAACATTTTTGACAAATTTCTTTCCAAAGTAAAACTGTCACTGCTTAACAGCACACACATCTGTCAATACGACTTTTTCAACAGTACTATTTCCTGCTCCATAAGCAGGCAGAGTCAGAGTTAAAAATTCAAAGAGTTTAAAAACAATGGAGAAAGACTTACAGCATGACGTCCGCATTCAATTGTAACCAGTTTGTGACATTTCTTATGGACAAGAAGCTTACAGTTGATGCATTTATAGCCTTGACGACCTAGGCCCCAGATCCGATCAGTACAAAACGCACAGTGTGCTCGCTGAAGGAGAGAGAGCAAGAAAACAAATGAAGGTTTAATGTTCAGCACAAACAGAACACTTTCGCTACAAATTTTATTAAACTAACAATAAATGTTATTACACATACTCCAAAATAAGTTCTAAAACTGTAACGGTAACTATTGTATATAATTTTTAAAAGACTAGAAATTTAGGCCATTGCAGAAAGGCATTCTACATGAGTTCCTGGTATCAAATCAAAATGTAGCCCATACGAGGAGCACATCTATCAGCTCATATTTTCCCTTTTGTGAAGTCTCAGTGATTTCTATGCTCTCAGTCTTCCACTCTACTTTCCGAACTAAATTTCCTTTATTGCGGCAGTGCACAGCAGTGACAACTTGCAGAGGAGTCATTATGCACAAAGATTTCCTGGAACCTGTTGACTCACTTAGCCCATTTACTATATGTGGGTTGCGGCAGTTTTGATATAAACAATGACACTTTTAGTAGGAAGTATTGAACTGAAACTCCATATAAGCCCACAAAAGTGCACATAAGGCAATGAGAATTGTATTTTGATCAGAAAGTTTGATTCCTGGACATGTCTCAATATTATTTTCTCCAATAATCCACTCCCAGAATGCCCCATATTGAACCTAATTAGTTCTTTTGTGGAGATAGTAAGAACTGCCGATGCTGGGGTCAGAGATAACAGTGTGGAGCTGGAGGAGCATAGCAGGCCAGTCAGCATCAGAGGAGCAAAGTTGACGTTTTGAGTCAGGACCCTTCTTCAGAAATGGAGGAGGGGGGAAGGGAGCTCTGAAATAAATAGAGAGAGGAGGGGTGGGGCTGGGGAAGGTAGGTGGGATGGTGATAGGTGAATGCAGGTAGGCAGTGGTGGGGATTGGTCAATGAGGTGGGAGGAGCAGATAGTTGGGAGAGAAGATGGACAGGTTGTGTCAGGTCAAGGAGGCAGGGAAGAGAGGGAGCGTTGGTCATAGGATGAGGTTGGGGATAGGGAAATTTTGAAACTGGTAAAGTCCACAAAGAGACCATTGGGTTGTAGGCTCTCAAGGTGGAATAGGAGGTGCTGCTCCTCCAGCTTCCAGGTGGCGACATTGGAGGAGGCCCAGGATGGACATGTCGCCCAGGGAGTGAGGGGCGGGGGGAAGAGTTGAAATGGTTCGCGACTGGAAGGTGTTGTCATCTGTCGCAAACAGAGTGCAGGTGCTCTACAAAGCGGTCTCCGAGCCTCCGCTTGATCTCACTGATGTAGAGGAGGCCACATCGGGAGCAGCGGATGCAACAGACCACATTCACTGGATGTGCAGGTGAACCCCTGTCTGATGTGGAAGGTTTGTTTGGTGCCTCGGATGGAGGCATGGAGGGAGGTGTAGGGATAGGTGTAGCATTTCCTGCGGTTGCCAGGAAAGGTGCCAGGGTGGTGGGGCTAGTGGCGAGTGTGGAGCGGATGAGGGAGTCGTGGAGAGAGCGGTCCCTACGGAAGGCGGATAGGGGTGGGGAGGGAAATACATCTTTGGTTGTGGGGACAGATTGCAGGTCACGGAAGTGGCAGAGAATGATATGTTGAATACAGAGGTTAGTAGGGTGATATGCGAGGACAAGGGGAATTCTGTCTTTGTTTTTGTTGCAGGGAGGGGATGTGAGGGCAGAGGTGCGAGAAACGCAACAGATGCTGTCGAGAGCATTTTCGACCACCAAAGGGGGGAAGTTGTGTTCTTAGAAATAAGAGGACATCTGGGATGTTCGGGAGTGGAACACTCCATCTTGGGAGCAGATGCGGCTGAGGCAGAGGAATTGGGAGTGGGGGATCGCATTCTTACAGGAAGGTGAGTGAAAGGAGGTAGCTGTGGGAGTCAGCGGGCTTGAAATAGATGCTGGTTTCAAGGTGGTCACCAGTGATGGATACAGAGAGGTCCAGGAAGGAGAGAGAGGTATCAGATATGGTCCAGGTTCTTATGTGTGTTCTTTTAATTCTGATTCCAAGTGTTTGTGGCTGCTCTTGATTGGCATTTACTGCTGCTAAACCAAACTCATTTCATCACATAGCAAACTCTCAGAACCAGCAGAGATTGACTTAAGGGATAGTAGGAACTGCAGATGCTGCAGAATCTGAGATAACAAGGTGTAGAGCTGGACGAACACAGCAGGCCAAGCAGCAGCATCAGAGGAGCAGGAAGGCTGACGTTTCGGGCCTAGACCCTTCTTCAGAAAAAGGCC